AATACAATAATCAGTGTTGGTGGGAACCCCTAATAATGAATGCAACTGCTTGCCTGGAAACAAACTAGCAGAAAAACGTTTGGCTCTATAAATACCCACTCTGTAATGTAGCTCAAAATAGGAATGCTATTGTTCTATATTTTTCAATTTTGCATAACAGGTACGCCCACGAAACATAGCTAATTCACTTTATAATATAAGCTGAGAAGTGTTTTGAGACGTTTCGAAGACATGATAACAACATCAACCACAAAATTACATTTATAGAGTGCCTGTCACGTCGGGAGGATGTTCCAAGGCGCTCGACAGACCGGGGTCAGGAACCGAGCATAGGGGAGGGGTGGGGTAGGGGTGAGGGAAGGCAGAGAGGTGGGAGGGCGATTGAAGGCACGATCGAAGAGGAAGGTCTTGAGACCGGCCTTGAAGGAGGTAAGGGAGGAAGCAATAAGGCGTTATATCAAATGCAAGGATTACGATTATTAAAAGAACTGAACCTATTGATCCATTTGAATTCCTGCCTGAAATTTCTTCCCGTTCTTCTTTGATATCCTTCACTAACCTCTCACTGTTTTAATAGTTGAAAACGATATTTGTTTCCTTAACTGTAACTTTCAAATAATTCAGTATTTGTCCCTATTCCTCAAAGTGCCTCAATCTACTGGAAAGGAAAACCATTGATTTTAAATGAGATACAGACCAAACTGAGAATTCTACGCATCCCATCTGTAAATGGAATTTCCAGAGATATCCGTTGGGATGGAATCCACGTTCTCTCCCTGGAGCGGCACATCCTGCTTACCTAATCCCAGAGAGCATTACGCAAAAGTTGGCACTAACTAAGGCTTGTAGACTGCAGAGTGTGCATTGGGTTACTGCTGGAGGTTAACCAGCTAAAATCACATAGCTTTCCGTTGAGAGCACTACCTTTGTTTGTCCATATAGATAAACTAAGCTTAGTTATCCAACATAATATAATAATATGCAACAATTAAAATCAATTCATCGAAGACCATAGCTGTGATTTAGTAGAAGTATTTTTAGTTTAAACACACACAGCTTGTTGATGAAGTTTGATACAATGTTCAGATTCTGCATACATCTCTCTGACTCCAGATTTTAACTAGATATTGAGTTTACAATATTGACTGTAACAAATATTGCTTTGACATTACTAGAATAATAAAGTACCTATGATAACACATTACCTGTAACAGAAATGAATTTCTGTTGTGTACATATACAAATAAACTGGGCAAAAAAGGAATCAATTATGTTTATTCTGACTGTGTGAATTAAATAAAATATAAATACCATACTGCAGATTTTAAAGCACTCGAGACAATTTTCAGTATTTTGAACACTTCGCATTTCTTGGTGGATTTATTGCATTTAACATAGGAAACCTCCCCTTACACTAAATACAGATTATTACCAGATATATATATATAATGAAGATCAGATCAATAGCTGTTCCAGGTCCACTGATAGCTGGATGGAAACAAAATAATGTGGTACTAATAAGCCTTTATAAGGTACCTGTGTATACAGCCAGGAAATTAGATTTGCATTATTACTAAATCTTCCACCCAACAATTTTGCCATCAAAGCTCATCTGATAAAGTTAGCTGTTGGGATGAAATTCAGCCACACAAACTTGTGCAATCCCAGGTTTTCTCCTCAGCCTGCAAGGAGTTAGCCGATCGCAGCCAAGGCAGCAATAGGAATGCTTAGGTATTAAAATGAACCCAGCTCATTTCCACAATAAGTAAATGATTTGTATCAACTATGTTCGGCTTGAACCAATAAAATCTAATCTTGCTCACATAATATGTACTAAAAATAAGACACAAAACTCAGACTCAGTGTTTTACTCTAAAATAAACCAAGTGAACTGACCTGTAAAACTCACAAGCCAAAGTAATGGGTCACTCAGTAGTTTACATTGCTGTGAACTACCACTGCGTGTTCTATTTTTATACAGTTCAATGGCACAGTGTGCCACCTGTACCTTATAATTAAACCTAACCATCTCAAGCAACAGGCTCTGCTTCGGAGAAAGACTAAAGTTGAAGAGAACAAGGAGTAACAGGAAACAAACTAAGTCATGTTTCCAATGAACACTAAACATATCTCTGGATAGATGCTTTTTGGAACAGAATAGATATTTTTTGGAACAGAATTTAGAACAGATAGTCTACCATAAATTCCTCATAGGAACCATGAGTTAGTGTAATAGGACAAGTTTTGTTACACTTAATTCTGGTTTGGCAAGCGAGCTTTTTTTCCCCCTTTCATCAAACGCTGTTTTTGTAGAGTTCTTCTATAAGTAAGGACTACATTTGAAAGCTCATTTTACTGAATACAATTTAGCTGGAAAGAATTGCTCTAATGTAAATTGTACCTTTGAAATGACATATTTCATTCAATGACATCTAAGCTTGCCACATGGAAATACCTTCCAAGCTTTTTAAGGATGTCTATTTTTCTTTCAATAAAAAATGTTGTGGTTTATAAATTTGAGCAAAACAAAGAGGGTCATAAAGACAGTAGATACCATTTCTTCAATTCCAATGCTTTACTTTTGATGTATGATCTATTACTCATTCGAGTTTATGGTGGTTATACTGTGTGCTCAGGCTTGAAAAGTTTCCTATTAAGAGTTGCACACAGTACAGAGAAACTTAAGCTGTCCACAAATAAAAATGTCACAACTCCATCTGACTTATGTCTTCCCATTGAATTTCGAATAAGTCAAATATGTGAAGCAGTAAAATGAACATGTTCGGGGAATTTAGCTGCTCCCTTTCCAGTTGCCTATCCATTGTAATATATCTCCACTGATTCCCGTTTTCTTTACTTTCAGTACCAACCTCTCAAGAGGAATTGTATCAAAAGCCTTACTGAAATCCAGATATCCAACATCCATAACCTTACCATTATCAAGTTCCCTTGTCACACCATCAAAGATGATTAGTAAATTAGATTGGCAAGACCTCCCCTTCATGAATCCATACTGGCTCTCATACTTGGGAATTTTTTTTGAAGGAATTATTATCCCTGGGAAAGCGATCCGCCAATCGACTAACAACCGGGTTCCTACTTACTGCTAGGTAAACAGAAGCTCGTATAGTAAGGAAACTTGCCCAACATTTTGCCCTGTCGGGAATTGAACTCAGGTCTCTTGCTTGCGAGGCGAGTGCTCTAATAATAATAATCCTTGCATTTGATATAGCGCTTTTCACGTCTTCTAGACGTCTCAAAGCGCTTCACAGAATATACTGTAAAGTGAATTGACTGTATATGTGTGGGCGAACGCGGCAGCCGATTGCGCACAGCAGTGTCCCACAAACAGTCGTAGATTGAAAATGACCAATTTATTATTGTTTTGCTTTGGAGGGATTATTATTAGGCGTGTGGAGTAAGGAAACTTGCCCAAGGTTTCGCCCTCTGCCTGGAATTGAACTCAGGTCTCTCACTTGCAAAGCGAGTGCTCTAACCACTGAGCTACAGGAAATAAAAATATTTCTAAAAATATTCTATCAAGTAACTGCTAGTTGACTTGTTAATTCTATCAAATAACTGCACACTTCATTGTGAAACAAATATGTCTTACTATTTGTTCTAAAAGTAAAACCCTATTTTTGACCTTGGTTTTAACAAAGGTATTTAAAATCTGCCATACCCCAGGTGGAACAAAACCACCCCAACAACTTGCATTTATATAGTGCCCCTCACACAGGGTAGTGCGAGTGCTTGACAGTGGCAACAACAACAATAAAATTACATTTGTATAGATTTGTTACAGTTCAGGGTCTTATTTTAACAGACCCCCACCTACCATGTTACTACAGGGTTGGATTGTATCTGCTTGAGAACAGTTTTAAAGGGACAGTAAGGATAGGTGCAAAGTCAATAAAAACTCCTGGTTTCCATCCTGTAGGAGGCCTGGATTGAACAGTGTAGATACAACAACAACAAAATTACATTTGTTTCGCGCCTTTCACGTCGGGAGGACGTCTCAAGGCGCTGGACAGACAGAGTTTCGGACCCAAGCTGGGGGGCGGGGTCAGGGAGGGTGGAAAGGGGAAGCAGAGAGATCAATACAATAACACCCTCAAGTTTCTGCTCAATTAGACAGTAAGTTTACTAACAAAGCTTCATGTGGAAACTTGAATTTTAGGTTGTGAGTAGTTTGTGGAAAAAGCAAGCTTGATAATAATAATAATCCTTGCATTTGATAGAACATCTGGTCATGTCTTTGAGACGTCTCAAAGCGCTTCACAGAATAATAATCCCTCCACAAAACAAAAGCAATAATAAATTGGTCATTTTCAATCCACGACTGTTTGTGGGACACTGCTGTGCGCAATTGGCTGCTGCGTTCGCCCACAAATATACAGTCAATTCACTTTACAGTCTATTCCGTGAAGCGCTTTGGGACGTCTAGAAGACGTGAAAAGCGCTATATCAAATGCAAGGATTATTATTATTATTCTACTACTATAAAGTCAATTGACTGCATGTTTTATGGGCAAAATGGTGGGCCTCGTGGTCTTTCAGTTCCCCCGGCTTAGCTTCTGGTTAACAAAGACCTTTCCTTTTTTTGGCACAACTCTCTCCTACGACGCATACCTGTGCATCTTACCTCCACGTCTAGAAAACAAAGCACACCATTTGGTGACGACTTCTTCCCAACTAACATGGATTGCACGTTATACCGGTTCCGAGTTCATGACACAAATGTACTAACTTCTCTGACGCTCGACATTTGGGACTTGAAATGCCAAATACGACTTGGATGCAACAGTAGTGTCGTTTGTGACTGGTGACTGGTTTATTCTGATCACTTTAATTGATGATGCAACGAGTAATGTCTACTGAAACCGAACACAAAGGCTGTGTCCAACAACATGACATGCACATAGGGGTTTTTTTTTTTAATTTAAAAAAAAAGAGACTGACCCAGAGCACAGTCTCAGCCTTTAGAGGATGATCCTTACCTTTTAGTCTGTACAGTCTGTACAGAGGAAATCGTAAGCCATTCCGTACCAGAGGTTTCAGGGGAGAGATCAGCACCGAATCTCCCCAACGAGGAGCTGATAATCCTTCACAGTCAAACAGGGCGAAAAGTCTGTCTCTTTTTTTAAAAAAAAACCTTTTTTTTAAAAAAAAAACTTCCGTCTCAAGAGCAGCTTCTGCGTGATTGCCCAACAGGAAAAGGTGCGTTTTTTTTAATATATGTATATATGTATCTGTGTGTTCAGATCGGGGGGAGGGAGGGGGGGAGGGGGGGAAATGCGGAAATGAACCTTCAGAAAGGCTCACAGTCTCCAACAAAAGATCTCTCCGAATCAGTGTCTCACAGCAAAGCGAAGCAGCACTGAGCAGAGCACAGGACCAGCGGCCAAGTCTTTTGGTGGGGTTTGGTGGGTGGTGGGGAGGGGAGGGGAGAGGGAGGGAGGGGGGGAGAGGGGGGGGGGGTTGAGAAACCACCTGCACTGCACTGCACCTCTGCAAGTTTTGTGAAACAAAGAATGCTTTGATCTAAGTGACCTTTCCACGATGAATGAATGGCAGACCTGGTGTCGGGTGACTTTCCTTCATTGTTTTCCAAGAGAAAAAAAGGGGAGGACGATTCGGAAATCCATCCAGACGAGGGTGGGTGGGGTGGGGTGAGCTGGCAGTTAGTTAGTTAGTTAGTTGGTTGGTTGGTTGGTTGTGGTGGTAGTGGTGGTGGTGGTCTGGTCCTGCAGCATCTCCAGTGCAAAAGCTTTCTCTCTCTCTCTGTCTCTGTCTGTCTCTGCAGCTCGTTACCTGCACCAGACACCCAGACAGTCAGTCAGTCACTCCCTCGCCTGTGAGCAATCAGATCGCACCTTCGCTCTGACTCTCCACCAGAGGAGTGAGTTAACGAGCAGCCGCACGTCAGACCAACTCCCCTCCACCTCTACTCGGCTTTATTTTTTTTTGGGGGTTAAATCCCCGTCCGATTTCTCCCCACCTCTGCCCCCGGGGCGCGCGTGTCTCGTGTGTCCCTCCTTCCTGATCTCCAGGGGCTGTGCACATGGCCGAGGCTGTTTCCAGCCGCCGCGCACAATGAGTGATTCGCGCAAAACTTGGCCAAAGCTCTCTGACGGAAATCAGTCAGATTTATATATATATATAAATCGGTCTCTGACTGTGAGTGTGTGCACAAACCTGACACACTCGGCACAAATAATTCTCCTCCACCACCAGATACCCCCCAAACATAAACCGAGACATGGGTTTATTGTCTACATGGCTGGATTCACACACACACACACACACACACACTGACCCTTTACCTGTATATATTTATATTCTTATCATTTCTATATATATATATATGTTTTATTATACATTTATTATATATATTTGTTATATATTCTTATTTCTATATACTCTTATCATTTACATATATACACACACACACTCATCATTTACATATATACACACACACTCATCATTTACATATATATATACACTCATCATTTACATATATATATACTCTTTTATCATTTACATATATATACACACACACTCTTATCATTTACATAGATAACCATTCTTATTTAAATATATGTGTATATATATATATGTATAGACTTATCATTTACAATCTGTCACTTGTTCTTCACGCTTTAAAAACTGAATGGTGTCACCTTTCGGGGGTGTTGAGAAGAGACGAAATCTTAACTAATTCAGTTTAAATATGTTGTCTGGGAATCCGCACAGATTGCAGACTTCGGAGAGGAACCCCCATTTCAGAGCAAGGAATAAGGCTTTGAGAATTATTCCAGGAAAGCTTCGCCCGGAATGATTCTTCCAGCCCTTTTAAAGGCTCGTTCTTTCTTAATTATGCTATCGGAATCAATCAGTTTAAATATGCTACGAAACGTCCCACTTGTCCAGATTCTGGACGTACTTTGCTCTTTTTTAAAAAAAACTATTTTTGCCAATAAAGAATTAGTAAATTCCCAATACACCCACCTGTGGAAAAAGAATCAGCATCTCTGTAACCAAGCCTCCCTCCTCCGGCGGCCCTATCGAAAGATGCATTGAAACCGCATTGTGTTTCTCAAAGGAAATATAATAATAATCCTTGAATTTGATATAGCGCTTTTCGCGTCGGGAGGACGTCCCAAAGCGCTTCACAGAACACACTGTAAAGTGAATTGACTGTACTTGTGGGCGAACGCGGCAGCCAATTGCGCACAGCGATGTCCCACAAACAGTCGTAGATTGAAAATGACCAATTTATTATTGTTTGGGGTTTTTGGAGGGATTACTATTAGGCGTGTGGAGTAAGGAAACTTGCCCAAGGTTTCACCCTGACCTGCCTGGAATATAAAGCGCACAATTTCGAATTGATCAATCATAGAAATGTCAGAACTGTAGGAAGCTCTTCAGCCCATCCGGCCTGTGCCCCTCTAGCTCCTCCAGTGGGCAGATCATTGATACTCTTCCAATTTGCCTCATACAGAATCAACTCATTTCTTTCACCAGCAGTGAGGTTCGGGGGTGGGGGGGGGGGGGGGGGAAAGAGGGAAAAGAAAAAAAAATCTCTCAAAAGGCTTTTTTTTTTCCAGTTATTTTATTGCTGATATTTATACCAGTTTACAGACATTTCATTCATCTTAAATTACAAAGGAGTTTTTCAATGCACATCTCAAGTTTTAATTACATTCACACTATCTCCTGCTTAAACATGGTCTAGAGTTAATCATCATGAGTTTGAATTGCCAGATCAAAGTTCCCATGCAGCTGTTTTTTTTAAAAAAAAATACTTGAGACAGCAAGTCATGGACAAGGGTTGATAATTTATTGTATTAGTGATTACAGGTGACTTTTGAAGAAACAGAAGAACCAAATGTACAAGTCCGCAAAAGACGGAAGGAAGCTTTCAAGGAGATTGCATAAATAATTCCAGGCATTCAAAAAGGAAAGGTGAACCAAAGGAAAAATTAAAATTTAGCAACCAGAGAGAGGGATAAAAGTTAAAGCAGCAGTTGAAAAACTATTAGGTAAGAGTTGAGGCAGCAGTGTTAGCAACATCAATGGAGAATTAAGGCAGGAGATAATTAGTGTGCCTGGTCTATTCATGAAACAGTTTTAACCGGCAGTTGGACAAATGGAAAGGTAGCTTTGGAGCAAAACATAAGTAACAAATCTGATAGAGGAGTGAGATTAACTGTGGTGTCAGATTCAAAAACATCTGAGTGTAATCTGGTTTCATTTAAATTTCATAAAATAAACCACAAATTTACATGTATTTCATGAAAAATCTCAGATTTGATGTGCGTTGAATATTTTAACATTGTTAGAGGCAATAAAGTTTGTTCTCATTACATAAAATTATACATCCCTAAGTTACAGTATATAAAGATCCATTTTGTCATAGACAATTTTGAGACCCAAAACTGGTAAATCAAATTTTGTAAAATAATGTGTTGTACACGTGTACCATGAATGAACTGAGCAAGCAAACCCAATACAAGTAAGAAATTACAAATTGCTAGGCAAAAATGAACAGGTCAGCTGTTACTATGAATAAACAATGTTTTGAACTTTGGAAGTTTTACACTTTTTATGAATGACTATAAAAAAGTTTAAGGCAAAAAACCTCTTGTGTTTGATCTTTCATTTTCAAAGTACGAGTACATTGCTTCAAGGGTGTTGTGCTGTCTCAAAAACTGAGGTTCATTTTCAACAATTAACAAAACTAATTATTTAATACAAATAGCAAAAGTTCTTAATATGCTGGCAAAGATTCTCAAAGGAATCAATATAATCTTCCAACTACTGCCCATCCTTTATGGCATTTTACCACAGTTATTATTTGGTGTGCATGTTTCGAGATCCTTTTCAATGGCTATCATGTTACAAGCAGTTGATGTACAAGCTGATGGTGTAAAACAACCTAAACAATAGCAAATGCCTGATCAAATTTCATTTGAAAAAATGTGAAACAAGCTATTTGACAAAATAAAACAACCACCTGCCTTCTTTTCTTTAAACAAAGTTTACATGTATCGCATGATGGTTTCCACCCTTTCCCAAGTATATATATTTTGGCTTACCTCAACATCCTTTGTTGTACAGTACCAGTTTGGTTTAAAAAATAATTTAGCAGCATACTGTAAATTGTATAAACTGACTGCATGTAATAAACAAATCTAAACATTCTTTAACATAAAACATTTAACCAGTAAACAAAGGACATTAGTTTGGAGTATCGCTTGCATGAATCCTCTACTAGATTAGTAAAATTTACTACAGTCAAAAATGCAAGAATTATAATCCAAGTATTATTGAATAGACAAATTATTTTACTGTTGCTTTATATACCTTAACACAAATGTTCTTAACATTTTAATCTTAAAGATACTGGCTCAATTTCAGATCAACATCTAATATTAGTGGAATCTTGGTTATAAGTTTTTTTCAATTTTGTGAACATTGTTATCAATTCCAAAACATGGATATTTACAATTAAAATAAATCTACATCAAGATTTGTGTAGACATGTGAAGCACGCATGTAATTTGGCAAGTGCTCATGTGTAATTGATAGTAGGAGTTACATTAATTCATCGTAGGATTGTTAGTTATTGTTGTACTTGTTTTGTAAAAAAAAGATTGTGTAAATGGTGATTTTATGTGAAAAATCAATGCTGATTTTTATTAGCACCTCCAATTCCAGCTATAAATGCTTGGTGAAAATTGAAGTGGGATACAGTCTGTCAAATCAATGTTTGCCGATTTCAATACTGGGAATATGCAGATTGTGAAGCTGATTGCATGAGTTACCCAATTGGTGATTTCTGACTGACTGCAAAGAATGCTGCTTAAAAAACCCCAATATAATTGAACTTAAAGAATGGTTAACCCCAATAAATAATGTTTGTGATGGTATTTGGCTAAGCAAACCTTATTACTAAGCACCTATCCAAGGATACTTGTTTGCTCCTTTTAACCAATACCTTGCCCAAGCAGAATAATAAAGTGTTTACCATTCACAGATCATTATCCATCAATAGTCCCTTTTTATTTTTACATCTGGTGGGTAACAACGTTAGCAAAAGCAATTCCTCCCTCCCCCCAAAATAATTAAACAAAAAACTCTTAATTCCTCCCTCCCCAACTGGTTTTATGAAGGCCCTTTTTGACCTTTCTTCCTTGGAATATTAGTATTGTGATACACTTTTTTTATTCAAAAAAGCAAGCTATGAATTGAAGACTTTAAAATCAATACCAAACAGATGAATCGACAGTTAAAAGCAATATACCTTTAATCTCTCTCAGTCATGTTTTAGTTTAAATAAACAAGTTTGTAAAAGGCAGATGTCTGGCTGAATTTGGGAACAACTTACTAGTTTTTTTGTTTGCTCAATGCTATTTGGTCATTTTATTCACGAGAAGAACTAAATCAAAAGTACATGTATACCAGGATGGAAGGGCTCAAACAAACACATATGCATGCATTAAGTTCAACAGAAGTACCTGTGAGCAAAATGCTGGGAGATTATAATATAGCAAGGTATGATTGCAAGGTAGAAAAGCCAGAAATTGGGACCTACATAGATTTACTTTGCCATACGTAAGGATGTGTTTGGAAGGAAACTCATGATCACTCCATTTGGTAAAATACAATATGAATATTTACTGTTTTACACCTGAGAGGACAAGGAAATATTAAAACTTCCTTCAAAATATTCAATAGGAACAATTCTGTTCATACAGCATCTTCAACAGCTTGTACAAATGTCTACATGCTGTGCACAGAATTACAATATATAAAAAAAACTTGCTTTAAATTTTCCAGATGCCGTGTGCTATGTTAAGCCTTTAACTTAGTGTATTTCAACAGCTGCTGGAGCAATGTCTTCTACTTCAAACACATATAAATGAATTAGGAAGTTGCTAAATGGAAGTGTTTTAGTACGGCACTTTCAAGCATACTGTATAGTCTGTTTCCATTATATAAGCAGCCAGAGACATTCTAGGGATCCCTTAACTTACCAAGTAGTACTGAAAAATTCAATTTTGAATTTAAATTGCAATGACATGTAAAAACTATTACAAAAACCACAAGATTACTAATGCAAATACTGTACTGATACGATCTTTCCTGTATATACACAATAAAAATCTCAGTATATGCAAAAATAATTTTAAAATCATGCATAAAGTATACATTTACTTGTTATGTTTGAATTTTCCTTCCAAACAAAACAAATGATTTTTTTTCAGTAAATTTAAGATCCTCTGATGCCTTTTTTTGACCAACTTCCTTCAGAACTTACACTTAAGGGTCATTTTTGTGCATCGATTCCATCTTCTTCCAAATCTGCTCCACTGCAGCTCATGGCCTATTTATTAAGGGAAGCAATGTTTGTGACGACACCATAACCCATGATCATTTTTACGGCAAGCTGGAAAAAAAATCAAAATCCATACTCCTGGAAACGTCTGAGCAGATCCCATCGAGTACTAGCAATATCTGTAGTTTATGGGATCACTGCAAGAGTAAACTGTAACTGGATCAACAGCAGACTACCGACACAAGTCTGTCGAACCAGATCCTTTCTTGACCTTTCGCTTCTTGTTAAAGCATATCTGGTATGTTTTGTTGCCTGAATTCTGTTTGTTCGATACACTTCCGACATGACCAGAGTTCTGCTGCTCTTGGAAGTCTTTGATAGAGGAACAAAATGGTCTTGCTGCACCATGCTGCAACAGAACAATACCAGAAGCATTTATTTAGCACAAAAAAATCTTATAAAGCATTTACTGTAGTTGTCGTCCTGAGATACATGATTAAAAGAACATAATTCGACATGTACAATATAAAATGTTTTATTTTGTCATTGGCCTAATTTTCATTTCTATTGACTCACCTCCTTCATAAGGTCGACTTCCTAACTTATTTCAATGTGTTCAGAAAATTGTAACATTTTGAATTTAATACGAATAACTTAAATCAAATTTTAATGCTGATGCACATAATTTCATGGTGTGCATTATTTTTAAACCCCATCGACAACATGTTCTCAAAAGGAAAAAAAATCAGAAGCAGAATTCTGTTCAAAATGTTCCCACAATATAAAAAGGGGAAAACACTATAAACGCAGTTTCCTGTAGTGAGGAATATACCCTTTAAAATAATCAGTGGCCCTCTCTACTTCATTCAATATTCACTAGAACAGTGACAGCATAATTTGAAGGAGATTCCATCTGGAGCTAAATAGCATACCAATAAGACATCACAAAATCATTGCAAACCTGTGCTTTATTGTTGTTGCTTGATGGGCCACCTTGCGTTTTCAAACTTGACTGTGAAGATCCTGCTGGTAATTCTTGTGCCACTGGTCTGTTAGCGCTGCCAGATTGTTTGGACGTTTTGCAAGGTGTTCCATCAGAATCCTAAGTGTAAGAATACATAACTGGTTTTGCCAAGTTTTAACAATGAAAACACACCATGTGGAATCACCAACACTAACTCTGGAATCTGCAGTGGGTAGAATGTTTAACCCAAAACATGAACAAATTTTTGTTATTACCAAAACAAATAAAAAAAGTTTGCATACTCAAATTCAGTTTTACTGAAAAACCAAAACAGGCCCACTCAACGCAGATGTGAATTTCTGGTTGCTTACCACATCACTTGAGCTGGACAAGGTGGAAGAAGCAGAAGACAATGGTCCAGACGATGAATTTGAAGAATGTTTACTAAGAGATGCTTCAGAGGTCCTGCTCTTGGACTCGTTTACAACTTCACTGTCTTCTGAAACATTGTTGTTGCATTTGTCCAGCTGTTGTGGGCCAACAAACAATGTCACATCATTCCCTGAATGGGGGAGGGGGGGGCAAAAGAAAAGAATTAACTTACTTAGTTGTCATCCTGTTCCTAAGGAGCATCTCTTACCAAAGATCATCTTTGTGGAGTCCTGTAGCTCAGTGGTTAGAGCACTTGCCTTACAAGCGAGAGACTTGGGTTCAATGCCCGGCAGGGTAAAACCTTGGGCAAGTTTCATTCGTCTGAAGACTTTCACTGATAACAGTATCTAACAACATGCCTGATAACAATCCCTCAAGAAAAAAAACTGGTCACTTCAATCCATGACTGTTTGTGGGACATGGCTGTGCGCAATTGGCTGCCGTATTTTATCCACAAATATACAGTCAATTCACTTTACAGTATATTTTATGAAGCGCTTTGAGCCATCTAGAAGACATGAAAAGTGCTATATCAAATGCAAATGCAATTATTATTATTATCTATGATGGGCAGGGTTTGCTAGATTCCCTCGAATTTAAGATTCTCACCCTCAAGTTCAAATCTCTCCAGTCGCGTTCCATCCTACCTCAACAACCTCCTACCAACCCAGCTGCTTCCTTTATTCAGCAACCAAAACAGGCTTTGTTTCAGGCCTGATCCACTCGACCCTCAGCAGGCGAGATGTCAGCCATCCCGTCCCCCTCTTGAACTCCACCCTGGAGTCCTCTGCCTCATGACACCATTAAAACCCCCTTAAGACATCCTTTCGATCATCTATCTTCACCCATCCTCCGCAGCTCTCCCCCACCCCCAGTTTGGGAGTCCAGTCAGCTGTTTGAAGTGCTTGGAGACATCCTCCCAATTTGAAAAGTGCTATATAAATGTAAATTGTTATTGTAGATTCCCATTGGGGTTCTGCCAACACAAGCCTCCTGCTTCTGCCAAGCAGATGCACTTGAATCACTTCCTAAACCTACAATAATTCTCACCTACCACGGTAAAATTGTTCTATTAATAGCCCACTTCTCCTACAGGTTTGACTAATCATGATATCTAATTTACATAACTCACAACCTCAGGTTCATCACCATAAAGTCAGAGGAACATCTCAGCTCCATTCTGTAACATTGTAGCTTTCACTCCTTGCTACCGTTTCCTTGAATAATCAGACTTACTGAAAATGTAAACTATTTGATCAGTAAAAGTAACCACATAAAAATCAAAAATAAAGAAGTTGAAAGCTTAAAATTAAATCTGACACGACAACAAAACCATTCACCTATTGAGTCTGTTGTGTGATATTTCATTTTTGGTGAACCAGCACTAGTCATATAACCTTATATTTCATTTATACATTTTTAGAATGTTTAGTGTTCAGTGGCTTTACAAAACCTACAGCCCCACTTAGTACAATGTCAAAGCCTTGCCCACTCTCTCCCCTTTTCCAAGTCCCGCCTAAAAACCTTTGCTCTTCGACCGTGCTTGCAGCCACCTTCCCACACCCTCCACTGTTAAGCGCTGCCCTGCATGGAGGGCGCTATATAAGCGCAAGTTGTTATTGTTGCTGGGCAGCTTGCAAAGTTTTTCCAGTAGCATCACAGCAGGACTACATGGAAACTGTTGCTCAACAGTGGATTGTGCTCAGAGGAATGGGTGGTTAAAAGTTTTTATATACAACAGACGCCCGTTTAAAAAACGAGTTATATACTACACTAAATTCAGAGGTCAATATTTTTTCCATTGTGGTGGGAAATTCAAGTCTTTTGTCTCGAGTACTTTTCGGGCAGGCAATTCTAAACTAGGCCAAATTCTGTAGACACATTTCTGTTAAAACTATTGATTTTTCTTGTAAGCTAAAACTCACTGGTACATATTGCAAACTGTAAAATCATGAGGATTATCATTGAATCCAAAGATATATACCAATTGGGATTAGTGTTTTAAAACAAATTTAATGTATTAGATTTGTTAAAAAAAATTGAATTTGGTCACACTTTGGTAAATAAATATCTTCTAAGGGTGGAAATGGAAAAAGCTTTCATGTAATGAATATCGGAAAACATTTGTGCAACATATGCATCTGAGTTGTCAAAACTGAAGTAAAAAGAAATAGTAACAACCCAATAGTCCTTAAAGGCTCAGTTGGTAAATAAATTCCCCCATTGTGTCAGCCATATATAGTTTCAGAAGGTGCTAAATTCAATTTGCAATTCATGCTGAGTAAGCTGATATCCACTTGGGGCACTACAAGTGGCCTCAACATCTCTTGATCAGAGAGCTCTGCTGAAATAGACAAAGTGATGATAGAGTCATGTTTCAGGTAAGTTACATCATGATTGAATGAACCACTGTTTAGGTTCACACATCAAGAATACCCACTTGGGTGAAGTATGAGGGGGCACCCATCACTGTGGAATCACAAATCACTACTTTCAATAAAAGGGATAAAACTGGAAGAAGATCCCTCCCCCAGAGAATCAATCGAAAATTAAAACACACAGCACAGAGAATAAGAAAGAGAAACGTTTTAGGAAACATTCCATACAAAATTTAATTTACCATGGCTTTTATTGCAAATCAGAATAATCAAGGCAGCAAACCCACCATTGAATGCAGTACAGCTACTCTGTGGTCCCCAATTATCCTGTATCCAGCGTCTATAGTCAGCAACTTCCTGGGTTACTCGGATAATTCGACCCAATATGCTGCTAATATAAACACAGATTAAAGCTTACACCAGCTCATAATTTCATCAATATAAATTGTTAACATCAAACCAATGTGAAGTTAAAAGTTTCCTACCTTTCACATTCTTTATTTGGGTAGTACTTGGCAATATGAGAGACAGCATGGCTTAGCACAACATAGGCATAATCAAATGCCTGCTTTACCTGCATGGCACCATATGAACTCCTACCAACATCATTTCCTTCAAAAGAGCAAACACAATCATCAGTAATGATACTCATACCATTAAGATTCAATAATAGTTCTTTAACATTCTCTCAATTTTTAATTGCACACTGGTTTATAGAGCAATCTAATGCAACTGGAATTACCCTATGTAATACAAGCGAACACCATACAAAGTCAAGTGGGGTGAAAGACAAATTTACTGGCAAAGTTAACACACTTTGTACATTTAGAATAAAATGATACCAATATAACTGCACAGCAAGATGGATAAATTTACCAACCAACGTGATTTCTCTCTCTCTCTCTCTCTCTTCACCCCCCAAATACCTTGGTACAGAAACAGTTTTTGAATTCCCACGGCAAAACGAATGGACATTTCCAGTCTGTACAGCGAGTGCTCAGCAGAAAACTCAATGCCAACTTACATTTTTAAAATGTACACAATAGCAAGAAAAATATACAGACCAGGTTCTGGTTTTCAGTACATGTTTTGGTGAAAAGTGCTAATATAAAATATAATATTCAATATCATAAAGACACAAAGGGAAAATGTTGCACGTCTTTTGAATATAGCTTTAATATTAATTTCATTGGTTTACTCTTAAATACCTATCCTAAAAATACCCCATACAACCTAAATAAATTTTTATTCATTGCATTTTTAGAAACCTCAGGGAAAAAATCTAGATATAGAATAATCAAATTAAAAGCTTTTGATTGGATTAAAGATACCTCTGCAGAGCAAACCAAAAATGCAGTTGAGATATGGAGGTCAGGGAAACAATGGAGACTGGAGCAAAGTGGGAGTATAGCACCAAAATAATTAAAAACAGGGAGAAACAAGGAATTCAGCAAGGGAATGAGAATCTGAAAAGCTGATCATTCAGGCAAATAGCAAGGAGAGTGTTTTAAAAAAATGTAATCTGAAGTGTCTATGTCAATAATGACAATGTGATTACAAGTTTCAGGTTAATCTGACCCAAATGCTGGGGAGAAAAAAAGAGAAGGTTCAAGCAGCCAGACTATTGCCTTAGTGTTACAATAGCTGTTCGTTCTCTAGCATCACGTCACTATATTCGAAAATGTAAGATGGAGTATTCTGAGTACTTCTATAATCTTAATTTCAGCAAATAGATACTATTAAATTGCTATCAAAACACTGAAAAGGCAGAACTGTACCTTGTTGCAGTGGGTCTTCAATATACAACATTGATGGCCTGTATCCATCCGTCATACTTTTTTGCACTTCATCCTTAGCAACGTAGGAACCTCCATCGTTTATCCGAATGCCAGTCTTAAGATAATTAAAATGTCTGCCATACAGTTCAAAAAATTCTATTAGAAGCACTCCAAGGTTAGTATCAGGGTTGCAGGCATCTTCCCGTGGATGTAACTACAATTAAAGACATATTATGAATATTAGTTCATGTTTTTATTTGTAACTGACCTTATTTATTTTGTTGAAACAGCCAACCATAGTGACAAAGTTGTCTTCAGCTGGAAGGACAAGACAGACTGGATCATGGTTTTCTTAATGAACTGTCAATGACCACTTGTCAAGTCACAATCCTTCTTACACAACTGAAACCAAACATATTTCTAACAAGGGCCACTTGGCTGACAGTTAAGCAGTAAACTACTAAAGAAAATAATATACAGGATACTGCATTGATAGAAATGTATTACAGAATTTATTTATTTGTAAAGTATTGAATACGTACTTGTTTTAATCTAGTTTCAACAGTTTCTATCTTAAACTGCAAATTAAACATGTATCTAATGGAAGAATTAAAATGTCACTACACATATACCACTTGTATTTGTGTAACATTTGTAAAGAGAGAAATGCAGTTGCACCTGTAGAAAACTAACAGCCATTAGAAAAAGGCTGTAGGAGCCAATGCCACCAGTGAACACTTCATTTAGGTCTCTCTGCAGCAAGAACTGTTTCAGCACTAGAACCAGGCAAGGGAGAACCGGAAACTTCTACAAAAAAGTAAAACATCAATTAAATGCAAGCTTGAACTACTTCATCCCAGTATCAAAAACTCTGTACATTTCTAATGAACTCTATAATTAAAAATAAAATAAATCAAAGAAGGAAGTAGGGATCAATTAATATTTAAACAGGATTACGTGGAATCACACTGTATATCTTCTCACCTTAATAAATTCTCTGATAAGTTGAGCAGCTTTCACTCCATTTTGTACATTGAAGCTGATATCTACTTTTACTTCAGTATGGGAGTCTGTCAGTTTAATAATAGGCACCTGATGCATCAGCAAAAACAAAGTCAGACCATAAGTTACATTCAAAAACACAAATTAGCTTTACATGGCGGAAGGAGGTCCAAAGACGCTGGACAATTAAGGATTTGTACCAGAGCTGGGGAGAATTCAAAGAAGAATTTGTGGAACAGGAAGATTATAAACAACAAGATTAAATTTGTATAGCGCCTTTCACATTGGGAGGACATCCCAAGGAGCTGGACAGAGTATAGCATTTCAGACCCGAGCTGGGGTCAGGGGGGGAGAAGGGAGGGGAAGGGGGAAAAGGAGAAATTAACTTTGAACAGTTAACTTTAATATACAATTCCAGCAAGTTTTCCCCCGCCTCCCCCACCAAGAACATTTTATGAATAGTCCTATCACTGCATAACGACAATGACTTTTTTTCTTCATTTCCACAAGTGAATATATTAAACAACAAATACCAAAATATAATGCACTTACATTTGTCTGAAATATGCATGGTAAGAAACTGTTTACTTTTTCATTAAGACACTGCAACCTGATGTCTGGTCAAGCTTCAAGCTATCAATTGCCCTCTACCCTTCACAAAAAGTCCTTAAAGTGGAAAGACTACAAGATCTTGCACCATGCAAAAAACACTATTCGAACTTCCCCATTTATAGAAAGAAGTATTCATAAAGAAAGTACTTACAGTTGCTTTGTCCAATACTTTAACAGAATTCTCATCAGCCATATTTCGTTTCCTAAGTGCTTCTTCTAGTGTCCAAAGAGGTAGCGTTTCCCACTTTCCAAACACCACTAAATCTATATCACTGAATAAAAATGGGGGGAAGAGAGCTGGATTTACAAAACACAATTTAGTCTGAACTAAAAAATGATATGATGGAGCAACCTTTTATACTCTAGTCACTTAGAAACAAATGAGTTTAAATGAAAATACAAAGCGAAAAGGCAATCTGCATGATTTAGAATAACTGCGACAGTTAGAGGGCTCAAATGGGATTTGAAAACTACAACAAGCCAAGACAGGGTAGTAGTGCTTAGGTTTCAAAATGCTGACTTGATGGATGAGTTGCAGTCCTTACTACAGCTGAATTATCTAGTTTTATTGAGACACGTTTATATTGCATCAACATTCGCCTCAACCCACTAAAATAAGCTGTTTTTTTTAAAAAAACTGAAATGTACTTTCTAAGTTGCCTTTTTTCATTTTATGCAATATGATCCCATATTTTTAATTATGTCCAACAATCGCCCAAATAAAATTGGTCAATCACTTCATGGATTTCTGTGGAACATTGCTGTGTGGAAATTTTGTTCGCCCACAAAATACAGTCACTCCACTTTACAACATATATCCTGTGAAGCACTTCCTCGACTTGAAAGGCGCTATAAACAAATGCCAAGATTAATTTTTTTTCATTACTTTCTAATTAGTCCCTAATCGTGATAGTCTGATGGAGGCACCGAAGTATATAAAAATTATAAATCATTAGTAAATTATTAGCAAATACTGTAAATCCAAGCATATCACAGTTACCATATTTCCAAAATGCTTTACCTTGTTGGCAAATACAGGCCAGTACTAAAACTTCCAAATATCTGTACCTGAAATATAAAATTCTTAGCATTAGTACAATGGCTATGTAACTTTAGCAATACAGCAAATGATTAGGATGCAGTATAAATTTCACAGTAAAAACAGCCTTGAGCAACTTAGTTTGTTGACATCTACTGCCCACTGGTGGCAACAATGAAGTTTTGAACTGTTCTATCTGAGACACTGCCATAAACGGTGAGATTTGGTTGGTCTGACCAAATAAAAGGTGCTAGGAAACGCAAGCACTTTGCTTATATGTTACTTTAGAACTCATCATACAACATACAATGTTTTTGATTACCTTCAGAAGCAGGAGATGGCTCTCACCCCCCATGAATAAAGCTTTATGCTACCTACCCTTGAAAACCCTCACTTTAATACTTACGTCTGCACTGGGCCACAGTTCTTTGATGACGCTTTCTATTCTTGCAACTACCTCCATTCGCATTTTCTCCTCTTCTGGTCGAGGTGACATGTAATTGTAGAAGTCAATAATTTCTTCATGAAGTCTAAAATTAAAATAGATATATGTATAATAATGTATAATATACTATATAAACTATGTTAACATTTCTTCCATACAACTGGGCAAATAATTGCATCAGCAAACCACGCACTTTTAAAGTTTGGTGCAGACTACCTGTAAGATCAAGTTGTTTTGGGGTGTGAAGAGAGTAAACTTTTTTATATATATCTGCCCAAAGATTAATTGAACCACAATCAGAACAAGATTAATTAAGAGGTGTATTTAGTCAAGTTTACAAAAAAGGGCAGATCAAAACCACTGGGTAAGAAAGAAACCAAATACAAGTAATTCAAATATAGAATTGATACCAGGAATAATTTTACCACAACTGCTTTTAAAACAAAGCTCTTTTTGTCACATGGATAGCAACAAAGACTGTCCACAGGCTCATTATGCACATCTGCATGCTGGCTGCTAACACATATTGGCAAGTTGACATAACACCAAAACTCACACAATAGAGCATCACAACTTTTAGCAAAACTGGTTGTTCTGGGATAAATTCTACTGTAGATGTGTAGGAGACATCTCAATTACACAATGCATTGGTGCTTCAAGGGGTTGTGCCAAAGTGTTGGCTTGCACACCCACAATACCCCATAGAGTTCATAATTTTAGCCACAAGGTTGGTGAGGTGCTCTTTTTTCATATCTCCAAGCAGCCCACCAGGAGTGATATTGACAAATCCCTAACAACACACCAGCTCCTTCAGTTAAGGACTAGTGACTCAGTTCTTTGAGGGCAGGATGCACAAGTTTGCAAAGCATGGGATAAGTGGGAACAAAAAAAACTATGATGGTGCTACAGGCTTCATGTTAATTATATGATGTTATCAGAGCAACTTCAGAATATGTATCCAGTCACCTTTTAACAAGCAATTATAATGCCACTTGAATCAGGCTGGAGATTCCGCAAATTTATCTGTATTCAGGAAGAAAATAAGCTAACTCGCTTGAATTTCATTGACAGCTTATCCTGTAAGCATTTTCTTATCCCTTAAAATTAAGCCACTGCACCTTTTCTACACTCTGCCCATTCAGAGGTGTGTAGCCGAATACTAACATTTATCCTAACGCAGCAATTTATGCATTGGAAATGGCAAATCACTCGTCATACTACTGAGATTCCTAAAATAGCGATTATTACAACACACCTGCTGTTCACAGGCTACTAAAAGTTTAAAGCAGCTACCAATTTTCGTTATACAAATTGCAAGAATAAACACTCAAGCAGATTATAAGGTAGTAATGTGTAAGAATCTTTAATCTCCCTGTGGGATTTCCTCATCTTCATCACACATTTTTCAATAAGAATGAGGTGTCCTGCACAACTAAGATTCCTGCCCCCTCTTGCACCCCCCCCCCCCCACCACGATAACTAAAAATATCTTTACATATAGGACAGAACAGATAGAATTTAAAAATAATATTTGGTACATGTAATAATGCTGGAGTCTGAAAAAACAGCAAATTTCAAACTGTTCTGAACAGACGCAAGTGGGCCTGTATTACAAATATATCTGTACTCAAATGGAACCTATGGACTTACACTGCCTCGATTACAAAGCTATTTCAAATATTCAAAAGTTAAAAATTGACTCGTTTCAAGATAAGGACATTTTATTTAGTAAACAGGTCGTTTCAAGGTTCCAGGATGTCAAATATACTGCTGATTGAGGCAAGAATATTTTTTCTCTGATAAAGCATTCAGATACAAAAAACCAAGAATACAGTGTTTGCTTCTCGCCCATATGGTTGCTGCTTTTAAATCCTAGAATTGCCAAACTTCACAAATCAAACCAACACTTGGTATAAATTTTAATTCATAGTAAATTATTAAATTAAGTATTCTTGTTAAATGTAAAACTCAACAATGAAGGGACACCCTAGTTTATTTCATCAAGTAGAAATACCTGCAGTTGAACTTCGACTATTCAGACAGCTGAACAGTGAGCAAGCTCCGCCAAACATGAAAAAGAAACTGACAGCACCGAAGCAAGATGGTTTGAGAAAAATAGGCCTACACTAGCTATGGTAGTAAAAGACCCACAAAAGTGACTGCTGGGAGAATTTTACATGTTAAGAAAAAAAAGTTTGTTTCGTTCTCTTCAGCGATCACCATGTTCACATCAGACTTCATTGTTGTTGGCAGGATGAACATCACTGGAACCATCAGCCCCAAAAGTATTATCCACCAGACGAATCCAATTTAGTTAAAATATTCAACATATACTTTTATTTTTAATCAATTATATTTTGGAAAATGCTTCATAGCATTTTACGTGAAAGGCACTTTATACATGAAATAATTGTCATGTCTCAGGCATTCTCCCAGATAGCATACGGCAGACATTTCATCATCAGATCAAGAACAGCAGAAGTACCTAACTGTAAGGAAGTTTGGAAAAGCATACTTTAGTACTAACTCCTTGTCTGCAGCATAAGCCAAAATTGTGAAAGTGTCCAATATTGCCAGTCCAGAGACAACAAAGTCCAGATATTTATTTTAAAATCCATGTATGTCAGGAAACCCGAGAACACTAAGATATGACCTGAGACACACTACTCTATTGACCTAATGACATTACAGTCCAGGCACGACATCTAGTAGTCCTGCGAACGGACAGCTTTGTAAAAGTCTGTGCCTTGCTGCAGCTGAAAATTTTAGCCAGGGAAAATGTAGAACTTGAGACAAAGGGAAATAAAAAATTCAAAAGTTGGGGCACTGAATAAAAATATCTTGTCATGAGATTCAGATGCAATGGCATAATAAACAAACATCCATAAATTTCAGATTTTAGCTTGAAATATTCAATGGATGCTTATCCTGTCCCCATCATCTTTTCTCCCCGTTTCAAGGAACATTGTAAACATTCCATTGCATTAGAAATGTACCATAATGTCGCACAACCACAATAATTTACCTAAGCTTCCAATCTTACAACAGCACTCACAACTGTATCAAAGCACAACATTTTTCCATTTACCAAACCACCAGCCTGAATGAATGACAATTTGAATGTCGAATCAAGGCAGCTTTATACTTTGAACCAATGCCCACCATAAACTAAACTGAGGCAGGTCTAATTTATTTCACACAGGGGTTTCAATAACAAATGGAGGACACATTCATGTTCTTCCCTTTCTCTCTCCACCACCACTCCCCCCGGAAACCTGCCACTTGGAGGGATGCAAGAGCAGAATGAATCAATTCACATTCCAAATGTCCTACTTGTAAAGAATCACCGGTCTCTGCTCTGCATCTTCAAGGTCAGAAATTCAATGTACAAGTAACAGATATCCAGTGGGCGAACAGTGATTCACAATAAAGAGGAAAATAATCTGAGTCCTATTTTCACAGTAAATATAACTAACTGACACTTATGAAATCACTATTTAGAAATTCTGTAACTTTCAGCAATGCTAAGAATACAAGATATGTTCGAAATCAATGCTCTAAATTTTATTTTAGATGTAACAGATCAGTTCTTTTTCTTACTCCTCCCTTCCCGAAGATGTGAGCATTATACTGGAGTTCAATAAGCACTAGGAATATTGTGGTACTTTGTCCCAGTAACCATTCATCATCAGAGCCCAGACAGTGAGTTCTGAGAGGCTATTTGATAATTGGGAGGGGGAAGAGAAAGAGGAGTGGAAAACCACAGTTGCGGTTAATGTTCACACATATAATCCTACACTAAAGGTCACAGGATATAGATCAGGCAATGAAGCTTTGACGGATGGTTTTCCTCACTAGCCAAGGGATATTAAAGCCACTTGTATCGCCTCTACTGCCACTCCAGCTGAGATTTGAAACTCAGCAAATCCAAGAATCAAACCTGAGACTTGCTCTGTATGACTCAGCACATCTTATAGTAGTTTTCACTGAGTCAAATATTGTGGAGCATTGCTTTCATGAAAAGATGTCTTAAGAAAATAATGTTATCCCCTCCTAAAATGTCAAGATATCTATTGATGGTTTCAGTAAGAAACGAGTTTTAGCAAAGAACAACAGGTTAGTTTATTGCTGATTCTGGTAAGGGAAATGAGTTATGTAAGTATTTCTGAATTTCAAAAAAACGTAGGCTTGTAAGACATATATGCAGTAATATTTTAATTATACTGCACATAGAAGTACAACCACCTTTACACTTGACCTTAGAAATAACACATGGGTGAACTGACTGCAGAAGGCTTTCTGCTTCATCAGTTTTTGAATGACTAACTACTACAAATCAATCTGCAAGATATTTTATCGTAAACTTTTCCCGTACTCCCCCCCCAAATTTTATTTTTTTGCCATGATCAAGCGAGCCATTCTGAAATACAAATGGGACACGTTGGTGACCTTCAAAAAAAAAACCCACAAAAAGGGGACACACAGTCACTGCATCCTCATGGCTGCAATGAATCTAACTGAACATCTACCCACCTACCTACCTCCACAATCCTCTTTTGAATGAATGTGGGTAAATAAATGCTCTTCAGTCGTGGTGACATTACTGAAGGAGGGGCCCACATGGCTACCGGCGTGACTGCATTAGGATGAACAGAGTGGGCAGTTTGCAGGTGTCCCAGAGACCGGTCACTGCAATGTCCCACACAGTACTGTCGAGCCCTCCCTTGTAGTTAAGGCAACTCCATTTTATAGACTTTCAAGGGGGACAGACAGTCTTCCAAAAAAAAAGAGAGAGAGAGAGAGAGAGAAGAAAAGTGGGCATTTCTCGATGCCCCCGGACAAACGATAAAAAAAAACAACACGACGGGCCGCACAAAACGTCAACTTTTTTTTTGGTAAAAAGAACAAAATTCTGTCCGATCACCGAAAAAAAAAAAAAAAAGCACGACTTTTCTCCGTCTGAGAGCGGTGGGGAATAATTTGCATTCCCTCCCGCGGTGAACTCCATCCACCCCAACCCCTCCCCCACCCTTTTTTTTTAAAAAAAAATTATTAAAAATAAAATAAAATAAAACGCAGGGATGCGTTCCTGTGCCACCAAAGTGGCAGCATTATATATATACATAAATATATATATATATATAAATAATTCACACGGGCACAAGAGAGATAGATATCCTTAAAAGGGCGTGTGGAAGGAAGCCCTTGACAGACTCCATTTCACACCCCGAGTCGGGGCGTGCGCCATAAAACCGGTTCAAAAAAAAAAGAGAGAGCCGCTCCATCAAAAAAAAGGCCTTCTTTCTGCGAAGTGACCAAAAAAAAAGGGAGGGGAGAGAGAGAGAGAGAGAGAAGGGAGGAAGGAAGGAAGGAAGAAGGGAAGACGCTTTCTGACTTACCCCACCACTCCCTCGCTATAGTTACGGTTTTTCCAAGGGGTCCCGGTGTAGTTGCCGCTCTCGTACAGGAGGCTGTAGTTCAAGCCGAAAGTACTGGCCTTGTTGTCGCGTTTCCGCTTGTTGCCCGAACCCACCACGTTCCTGTTGTTGATGAGGTCGGGGTAGTGTTTCCTCCAGCAGCCCCCGCCGGGCCCGGCTTGGAGGTTGCTGTTCCCACTGGGCTCCAACGGTAAGAAGTCGCCCTGTTTGGCCAAGAAGTCCCCTCCTACTCCTCCTCCACCTCCTCCTCCTCCTCCTCCTGCACGCTGGCCGCCCCTCTCCCTGTACATACTCTCGCCGCCCACGACCGGAGTCGTCGATGTGGTCGACGTCGTCGTCGTCGTGGTGGTGGTGGTGGCGGTGGTGGTGGTGGTCGCCGCCGCCGCCGCTGCTGTCGCCGTCGCCGCCGCCGCCGCACAGTTATTATTAAAGAACAGATTCCTCAGGCCTTGCGTCGTCTCCCAAATCTGCATCCACAAAATGTTGGCAGGTCCGAGCTGTTCTGGCTGAAACCAGGCTATTCTCGGATCCATCAAACGGAGTCGGTTTCCTCAACAAGAGAGCCGAGCCCCGGCAACTCGCTCCTTCGCCTTTTCCCCTCTTTCCAACAGCGCCGCGTTATTCCCTGTGTGCCTCTCAGCGGTGGCACTGATGACGGCTGCGCCGCTCCCTCTTTTCTTCCCTTCTCTTCTTTCCTTCTATTTCCCCCACTCCCACCCCCCCCCACCCACCTCCGCTGGCGGACCCTGACCCCGTCGCTGGGCCGTAACGAGGGGAGCCGGAAAATGGCGGCGGCAGCGTCGGCTGTGAGGTGACTCCTCCCGCTGCTGCTGCTGCTGCTCGGGCTCGCCCGCTGCTGGCTCCTGGCGTCAGTGCGCAGGCGCTTTGGGGGGGGGGGGGGGAGAGGCGGGGCAGCGTCGGCGCGCCTGACGCGCGCGTGAACACACGCCGTGCGCGCCCACCGTCGGATTCCGCCCCCCCCCCCCCCCATTGTGATCGCGCCCGGGGCAGGGAATGGGGGAGAGCGCGCGCACGCGCACGCTCAGGCTCACCAGGCGGGTGATGATGCCAAATGGAATCTTGGCACCAACCCCCCCCCCACCACACCCACCCCCTTCCCCTCCACCCCCCCCCCCCTTCCCCTCCACCCCCCCCCCTTCCCCTCCCTTCCCCTCCACCCCCTCCCCTTCCCCTCCACCCCACCCACACCCCCCCCCTTCCCCACCCACCCCTTCCCCTCCCTTCCCCTCCACCCCCTCCACCCCACCCACACCCCCCCCCTTCCCCTCCACCCCCCCACACCCCACCCCGGGCTCCTCATTCTCGAGGGTAGCATCTCACGACGCTAAGCCGGGGGGGGGGGGGGGGGAGGGGGTTTAAGTCGCGACCTGAAGATGGCGGAGGAGGGGGTAAGGCGGAGGGATAGACAAAGATTTTTTTGGGGGGGGTGGGGCGTTGTGGCGAGAAGCGCGGCTACCGATGGTGGAACGGAGGGCACCAGGAGGGCGGGAGCCAGTTGAATGGAGGCAGCGGGTGGTGGGTTGGGGAGTAAACAGGTCGAAGAGGTAATCATAATAATAATAATAATCCTTGCATTTGATGCGAGCGCTTTTCAAGTCTTCTCGACGTCGCGAAGCGCTTCGCAGAATATGCTGTAAAGTGAATTGACCGTATATTTGTGGGCGAAACGCGGCAGCCAATTGCCCACAGCAGTGTCCCACAAACAGTCGTGGATTGAAATGAGCAATTATTATTTTCTTGACAGTCGTGGATTGAAATGAGCAATTATTATTTTTTTCTTGAGGGATTATTATCAGGTGTATGGAGTAAGGAAATCGATTCGTTCGGTGATGGGGAGCTTAAATCTCCCCTCTTCCCACTTGCCCTTAAGAAAATACAGTATATCCTGTGAAGCGCTTTTGAGACATTGTGACTACGTGATAAGGCGCTGTATTCAAATGCAAGGAATGTTCGGATTATTATTATTACTCCTGGGTAAGTGATACCGGCAAGGAGTGCATTGGAGAAGTCAAGGCAGTTGGTTTGAGATAGAAGCAGAGGTAAGCAATGTAGCGGAGGTGAAGGAGGTCTTTCTCAAGGACCAAACGTGAGGAAGTAAGGACACCAAGTTGCTGACACCAAGTTGCGTACTGAGAATTTGAGCATGTTCAGGTGCAGGAGATCAGAACTGGGAAGAGATGTTCGCAGGAACTGAGGATGTGAAAGGCACTATACAAATGTAATTTGTTGTTGAGGATGGCTTCCACCTTCTCCTTATTAACCTTCAGGAAGTTGAAGCTCATCCAGGCCTTGATGTCTGGCAGACAGGTGGCCAGAACATCAGTGGTCCTGGAATCAAGACAAGAAGTGGAAAAGTTGCCACCACAGACGTGCTGGACAGAATGACCTTCTGTGCTGCAAATGTCTGGGCGAAATGCGGTACTGGGAGTCGTGTAATTTACAAGGGACATTACTGTCCCTCATGAAACCAGAGGAGATTGATTGCAAGGGGATGACACTTGCCAGGTGTTTTTGCAAGAAACCACATTACAAAAAAGCTCCACCAAAACCATTGTTGTTGCATCACTGGAAAATAATGTCCTCTTAAACTTCAAATAGACGTGGACCAGAGGGAAAATCACACACGCAATCAATAAACAAGAATGTTCCTGTTTATCCAGTGATGTCCTTGTATAAAAGGGTTGGTAATGAGGACATTAATAAGTGTTTTAGACCTGACTGTGATGCCTTCCACTTAATAGTGAAATGTGGGAAGTACTGTAAATGTTTTGAAAATGAATTACTGGAATACAATATTAATAACTATAGGGTCTGCATTTTGATTTAACCCTTCATTTAGGTTTCTCAATGAAACAAAATCTCAAATCAATTTATAGTCTTACGTAATGTCCAGCGCAGAAAATAATCTATTTGTGTTTTTTTCTAATTTCAGTTTATATTGTGTTGAAAATTCACACATGTGCTGTTTTAAAACATCAGGTCCTGTGTTTATATATACATTGCACAGAAGTACGCAGTTGGCCTATTTTGCTTTCTAGCCAACATTTTCAACCCACACAGAGCACTTTTTTTTTACTATTATAATCATGTACTGTACAGAAAAGTCAGTGGGAAGGTCTATTGATATGGGCAGAATGAACACAGAATTGAAGGTTTACCAGGCACTCGTCAAATTGTAACATACAAGCTGAGGATGTTGTTTCCTCGCACTCACACTGATTAGATTATTTTTTGATTCTATTTTAAGATGAGATCAAATGGCTGTTCATTTTTTTTTGGAAAATGAGAAGGAAGTTTTGACTGACACCTCATTATAAATCTACAGTGTTCAGTGGTAAACTGTACTTTAGAGTTCAATTGTTCTGTGAGGTGTGTTGCTCCAAAATGTTATCTTACATGAAGGGCGCTATGTAAATGCAAGTTGTTTGGAGCATAATTCTACAGACTGGACATATAGTGTGATTTGCTTAGCACCCTCCCCCAAATCACACAATTTTTTTTAGCATATCAATATTAGTTGTATGGTCAGTGTGCGTCCTCCCTATAAAATTACTTCCAACAGTACTTGAAAGGATTTTTTTTCTCTACCACACCAAATTCACAGTGTTTGTTTATTTTTTTGTGCTTTGCAGATCTGGGAAGATTGTTTTTATACTACTGTAGTTCAGTTGAAGGCTTATGAAAATATGACGGTATTTTGAGGAGGCAGAGCAAGTTTGTCCAGCAAACAAGTTCTATTCTAAACCAGATCTACAAGTAAAGATTATATATGTAACACAACGTACAACAACAAAATTACATTTATAGAGCGCCTTTCAATCCTAGGTGTCAATGTAGATTTTATTTCATCAAGAAGTCATTGCAAAACCATTAGTGCCTGAAGCTGAAGAATTTCAACTAAAACCCTCCTTCTGAGATGTATTAAAGATAAACAAGATCATTATTTTATACAGGAAGAACTGCATCTGTTTTGATACCACTAATATCTTTTGCCATCAAGTTCAGATGCAATTCTAGTCATCCTCAAGTATAAGTATGAATGCTTTTGCTGACTTGAACAAGTTAATAATTTAATGTTAAGATTTTGAACTTTTTTTATTGAAATAACAATCTTTAATATTAACACATTAACACTGTCAGTTCAACAGCATTGTTGCAACATCCCAACTTAAATTTTCCAGATCAGTAAGAAATGGTGGCATAATTCAAGATAGGAAATGTCTTAAAATAGTATCTTGTATTCTATTACAATTGAATGAGTAATGTTGCATTTAGAAGTTTCTGTCTGACAATACAAACGTCAGTTGCACTTAAAGCAGCTTCTCAATTTGTCTTCCTCTGCTTAATTTGGCAGTGCTTCTCGGTAGGCAATAAATCGGCGCAGATTCATCTTTACATTGTCAAGCACAAGCAGTTGATCGGGACCATAGTTACCCTTTCCTTCCTTCCGCATCTAACAAAAGACATTCATTGTTAATTAAAAGTTTACAAATGTACATGAAATTGTTGTATAAACCATTCACTTACTCATAGAATATTACAGCACAGAAGGAGGCCATTCAGCCCATTGTGCTTGTGCCGGCTTTTTGGAAGAACTACCCAATCCCCTGCTCTTTCCCCAAAACCTTGCAAATATTTCCTTTTCAAGTATCTATCTAATTCTCTTTTGAAAGTAGTTATTGAATGCGTTTCCACTAATGAAGGTTATTTCTACAAAGTAATGTACTTTGGAATCCACGGTCAGTAGAGGCCTTGGAGCCAGTGTATTCTGAAAGTGCGTGCATATTCACTAATCACACACTTACCATGGAAATGTTTGATTTATGGGATGATTGTGAATGAAGAAAGAATTGCAATAAAGAAAAATATGAAGTTAAATAGTGATTGGCAAAGTATATTTTAGGCAGAACTCTTACCCTTGCTTTGAAGACTGGCTGAAAGGACTTCAAGGTTTGGACGAGCTTAATCTGATCAGCTGCCTTGTCTGCCTCTTTGCCGTCTGCAAACACATCTATGATGGCATCCAGTGCCTCGCCGACCACCACCAATGAACAATCCTTCGTGGCTACCTGCACCAAAAAACTGCCCATCATCTGAAATTAAGGAACCACAGGCAAAGACAGATGAGCATACAAACAACAACAACAACATGCATTTGTATAGCGTCCTTCACACAGGGTAGCGTCTTGGAAGTGCTTCCGGGAGGCTTTTGTTTTACAAAACCACACTTGGTAAAACATGGTGCAAGTTCTGTCGAAAGGTCAAGTCAAGGATGAAGACAATTTGCTATGCCAAACAATTTGTGAAAATATCAGTAGAATGCAAAAATAATTTAAAAACTAAACATTCTTATATGACTGGACATTATAAAAGGAAGGAATAGCTTATACTTTTTTAAAAAACATACACTTTTTGTCATTTAAAAAGAATTCATAATAACCAACTGAATTGGATTGAATTCAACCACAAGAACGTATAAATAGAACTACTAAGCGTAGGCACTTTTACAATTACCTTGAGAGTTTCAGCTGTGTTCTCTTCTTTTGCCAGCACGCTACCACCGATTCCCAACATGGCAACTGCGTTGACACGAGCGCTGGCATTTTCACACTGCACTACAGCTTCACACAAAGCCATCAGCTGTTCAGGACTCATGGACTATTTAGGGACAGCAGGAAGAGAGAGAGGGAGAGAAATAGTTAACAAGGATATCATTCATCTCTCCTATTAATAAAAGATTAATCAATATATTTTTTTAAATCAAGCAAAATCAAGTCAGTACTATATGGCATAAATACAATCTCAGGTACATTAAGGTCACTAACCTCTTCATAGCACAGAAGGTTTGTAGACTATCACTTTAATTAGTACATTGCCCTTTGCCTTACATTCTGGTCCTATCTCGATTATACCCATATCAAAAAGGATTAACACGCTTTCTGATATTCTTATAAAGAATGAGGGAAGCATAAAACCAGAACTTATATTTAGTTTCATCTCAATTTGTCAAATTTCCATTTACACTAATTTGTAGTATAGCTCAACAAACTAGTTGTTTTTTAAAATCAAATCAGCCTCATACTGCTTGCCTGCTGGGCTTCCTGGCATCTCAATGTTCTATGAAGATATTGTAATTTGATCCAAGATTATTTTTTAACGCTTTATCACGGTTACCTTTTTAAACCATCCAGTTCTCAACTGCAGTAGCTGGAGAATAAAAGTCTCACCTGAGAAAGATTTTGGGAAGCCATAATTTGGAACAGAGACCTCATTGCACCAGTGACAGCCTCTAAAAACTCGGAATCCTTTGGCAGCTCTGCAATAAATGGGAGGTGTAAACACAACTATAAAAATTGATACAATAGCATTTGTTATTTAGTATAATATAGCTTAAATTTATTATTCTATAGAACCACCAGGGATTTTCTAAATGGCATGTCAGTTTTGGGGCCAATTATGCTAGAAGAGATGTAATACTACAAAAAGGTCAACAATTCATCCCCAGGATTACCTACCAATGAAACTATAAACCCAGATGATATTTAGACAAGACAATGTAAAAGGTCAGTCAGCATGAGCACAAGTTCAAAATACCTCAAAACGATTTGAACCTTTATCTATCATACAGTATATTACAACTGAACCAATTTGTGATCTTTGCACTGCAAAGAGCTATAAATGAATTGTTCAAAAGAAAAAAAAAGTACCAAAGGTTCTCATTTGCACGTAACTCACCGGTTTGTGAGAAAATTAGCTGTGCAAGGTGTTGTGACAGGGCTTGAAGCGCCACTGGTCCTCCAAGTCCCTCAACATCCAATACTGATAATATGTTGTGGAGGCACGTCAGGGCTCTGCACTGTATGCGCTTCATTCTGTAGAAAGTATTGTCATACATAACAATCCAAATCATTTAAAAAAATCAGCTGTTGCTTTAAGTGTAATGTCAAGCGGTTACTTACTTTGTAATCAGTGTCGCCATGGCTGGCTATTCATACATATATTCACAGTAACGGTGTCTGGGAATGTAGTTTTCTCCAACACCTGAAATAATTTGTGAATAAACAAAGCATCTTTACCAACAAAATGTTACGAAACCAAGAATAGGATTCCTCTCTCTGTTACCCCATACTATTTCTCTCCTGTTTTGCAGACACCCACCGAGACTGTCTATCCACTTGATTTTGTCCATAGAAACTGACATCTGAAACCATCTGTGGAACTGCAGTCTGCGCTGACTCAGTGAATCACTTTGCCTCCACTTGTTATGTCCAACAGAACCAGCTGAGATTTAAACAAAGAAACGGAGAACCCAAGAGTGCTGAAGGATGCCATTCAGCCATTGAGTCTGCCCCGGTTCACTGGGCAAGGAGATCACTTCAGTGCTACACACTCCCCCGTTCCACATCCCCCCTCAAGCCCCTTTTTACATGCCTGTCTACTTGCCTCTTGAAAGTTACAATGCACCGTCTCCACCACCCTACTCAGCAGGGTGTTCCACATCCCAGCAACTCTGGGTGAAAAACATCCTGTTGTGGCTATCTTACAACTATATCCCCCGTCAATGGAAATAACCTCCCTGTCAAAACCTCTCATAATTTTGTACGCCTCATGATTTAATTCTCATCTCATAATGATATTATTTTGAATATATCCAACCCCAACAAAGACCACAATGTGTTCTGTTCCACTTTGCTACCAGTCTAAACAATCAATTTCAGGCTGCCTTAGGTGTACAAACTGGTCTCTGCAAAGGGTAGAATGGGAGAAAGATGAATATCTAGCACAGTGAAATCCTATCCCAAGAGAGGGAAAGGAATGTATCTTCTATCATTGATAATGAAACTTTAATTATTCTGGCTACCATTTTCCTTACAAAACAGTCAACTGAGAAAAGATTGTAAAGCCCACAATGTGATAGTATTGCATGGAATGCAACTGAATGTTGCACACACTCCACCATCTGGAGTTGCGCTGTATTTCAGCCACATCTGTGCATAATTCCAATAAGGGTTGAGCTTGCTCGAAACTGATCGACATGGCTAGGGAATGATGTTGTCAAACATGAGGCTATATTTTGGAGGTGAGGTGGTTACAAAGTGATGACCTATTGTATCAAATTACAACTACCAGCAGATATTTGAAAAAAAACAGGCAGGTTGCATGAACAATTTTTCAACTGAAGGGAAACGCTCGTTTGAAAAAATAAATTAAGAGAGTATCTTTCAAATAGAACACAAAATGTAATTAATGCTACTGCAAATAGAGTGGAAGGCAATTAACCAAGAATGTTCATCACTTTAGCAGAACACTGAAGTAGGGTGATTTGTCAGTGGTTAAAGTGCAACCACTGTAAAGATGCCACAGAATAAAATATAATGCAACCATCTGCTATGGCAGTAATGATTTTATAGATGGCATAAATGGAAATGCTGTCATGAGAAAACATTCATTGGACATTTATAGCCACAAATGCAATTGTGATGATCAAAATGTGTAATATATTTATCAGTGTCTTCCTCTTAAACCAGATTGTAATTTATGGTCCATGTCAAATACGAACCAAACAGATCTTTAAGTGCTATTTATTTTCAAAGCCACACTGTATTCTAAAAGTTTTGCATTATCCCTACAGAAATAAACTAATGCTGCATACAAATGTTCTGAAGATTCACACTCACGCAGCAAGTGAGAATCATTAACAAGTTAACAGTTTGACTCTGTGCTGGTAGAACATACACCCCAGGGAAGGGAAACACAGCAGCTCTTGCCAGCTCTGTAGCGTGCACAGTAATTGTGCTGGTGCAGCGTGCCACGGTTCTGGAAGGGGCGATTTGACAGCACAAACCCAGCACAAAGCCAGATAGGGATCAGGAAGGATACGACAGGCATATTATTAACAGAGCACATCATTCCCATCATTTAACGTTCATACCAGTGTTTAAATTTTATTCTGCTATTGTAGGCAGGTAATGTGTTGATCAGCTGGTTAGGGTTGACAGATGGTCCTGCTTCACCACATCGCTAAATGAACCAATGTTTTTTGCTAATGGCTTCATTACTGCCAGAAAGTCTAACTTCGTAGAATACAGCAGGGTACGTGCAGTGGTTCTCTGCAAGTTCTGTAATTTTTTGATTGAGTTTCAAGTTTTAAAAGCTTGATTTGAGAGACAACAACCTAAGTAGCTGCTGCAACCTTACTTAGTGCAACTCTTGGCAGAAATATGTCAATCCTTTTCGAACCCTAATCCGTTCTTAAGTGCTCAAAATGATCAGAACTCAGTACCTTCATCTACAAAATACAGTCACTGCACCTTATAGAATATCTGGTGAAGCGTTTTGAGACAACATGTGGAGACTATTACTCCTGATTTGAACATTTAATCTTGTTAAGTAAATATAAGAATACCCGCCTCTCCATATTTCAAGCGATGGACAACTTTAAAATTGTGGAATTTAAAGAAAGACCGACGACCGTAACAAGAGGAATCATAAATAGCGAGATGGCACTCGAACAGCCACAGCAATAATACTCTATCCTGGCTGGCCACAGGAGGGCACTATAAACACACAAACATTAAAATGATTTTGTTTAAAACAGAGAACCCAGTGAAGGACCCAACAGGGTTTCACGGCTCAGTGCGCCACCAAGATCAAAAAGAGTCACAAAGAAATGATAAAGGACAAGAAGTGGTTAAGTGATGCCGAATTTGGAGTTTAAATGTCTGTAGATCGTAAACAGAGGGGAAGGACCAAAGGAGATCAAAGGGTTCGGTCCTGAGGAATGAATAATTTCACTTTACAAATACTATAGTCAGATCTAAAGTTTTTTTGACTACCTTTTTTGGAATAAGGCAGTTCATGAGGGCAGAATGGACCTCTGCGGATAGGCACAGCGGTGTACACAGTGCTCCAGTCCCTTCAGTGATGTAGTTCTCGGTGCAGAGACTGTAATCGCTCTCGTCACTACTTGACATTTCCTCCCACTCATCGTCTGAAGGATCTGAGCAGAGGAAAGATAGCTTTATATACTATATAAATGTGTATTATTATATATTTATATAAAACACTTGAATATCACAACGATAAAACAACGAAGATGCAGCTAATAGAAGGTTTGCATTACCCATTTAAAAGAAATTTAAGATTTTAGGGTATAAAACCTATGCATTACGTAATAAACACTAAGATTTATGGTTTCATTACACTCGCTAGCAGCAATGCAGTGTTGTAAGCCATCGATTTCTGTACCCAAAGCGAAGCATTTGGCAAATGTAGCAGTCACAATGCAATCTTCATAAAACAGGTTTACAAGCAGTTTTAAATGTTTCCTTGCATTTTTTTTAAAAAAAATCTTCTTCACTATTACATCCCCTATGGACTAAAGTAATATTTTGCTCTATGCACCAAGATTCTTATGAATGAAGTTCATGGAATCTTCAGCACTGAAACAAGCTATTAGGCCCTGCTAATCCGTGCCTATACTCCACATTAGCCCCCATTCATCATAATCTCTCCCCCTCCCTTTATTCTCCTCTCCCTCATAGTTATGATCTCAAAAATATGTAAACTAAGCTGGTTTACATGATAAAAACTGAATGGATTGAAATGGGTTGCAAGAGCCTCATTCTTGTCATTAAGGGCATTTATATCCCTTATTGACAACACAAATTAGTCTTCACTTTCAAATTATGTGAGTGCATTTTCTCTGTGGCGTGAAATAATGACTTTGGTAGGACAAAGTATTGTATAGAGAAATTCCTTCAAAATAAAACATTTTCTCATTAAGACCAAGTTCAAACTATTTTGTGGGAACTATCTTGTTTCTAATATATACATGATGATCCTGCCTTTATTAGGATGTCAGTGCATTACATTATCTATCCACTGTTGTGCAGTTATTTCAGAACAAGAGTAATTTCATTAAAACAAATTAATGTGAAGCAATGCTGTATCGACTCAACAACCATCTGCTAAAGTTCAACCAAACTCCATCCTGTAATGTAATGAGTTGTCAGAGAAATGCTTTCTTACATTATTGGTCTGGTAACTTGTCACTCTTTAGTGAATGAACAACATACACACCTGCTGGAGACAACAAAAGGCTTCTACTTTTCTTAGACAAAATTGAACAACTGTTTTTAACCATTGCGATACTCAAAACACTCAAAAGGTGCATCTACAATTATTATGTTTGCTGTTTCTTTCAAATGCCATTCTTTCCCCTGTTGCAAGTTATCACGGATTTTGGGAGTTAGCTTCCACGGCTGGAGAATGATGTATGCAATCTATACCAACAGCTGCTCGAGTCAACCTCCCACACATGTGCTGAGGTTCTATGAAAGAGAGTCCTCTTCATCCAGTCATTCCAAGTCAAGACCAACAAATTTAGAAAAGAAACAGATTCTGCGGCTATGGTCAGACCACAGCAAGTTCAACTCCAGTCTTTGGTTTTGTCTCCACTGCTGGATAGTCTTTCTGTTGCTGGAGGATAAATGAATGAGAAATTCTGCTATTCCATTTCAAACGTGTAATGCAATCGGAAAAGTAACCAGATTTTAGTTCATACCTTCTGAACAGCACATGTTGACGATGATCTCTAAAGCAGTCTGTTGAGCAGATAGCAAGGCCGTGGCGTGCCTCAGCTCCTCACTCTTTGGCTAAAAGAAATTCATAACCAGGAAATTAGTAATTTCTTACAATCAAAGCATCTATGTCTTTTCCAAAGTGTTCCAAAAAAAATACCGTAAGAATACTCCAATGAAAAGCAAATATTGTTCATGGAATCAAGACTGCTTTATAAGCACTTACTGACACTTTTTAAATTCCATCTGTAGGGTGAAGACAGTTTCAAAAGATAATACGAGTCCATTCAAGTGCAAAAAGTGAAAGTCGATGATGGAAAATCTTTGTACCAGAGATCAAAACCCCTCAGACGCACATCTAAGACACAGTTTTTTTCAGTCTGTAAAGTTTCAAAATAGAGAACATCTGCATGGGCCCTAAATCAAAGGAGTTTGGGTATTTTGTTTGTGTATTGTCAACTTAAAAAAATAGAAAAAGTGTCTGAGAGACCTACAAGTATATTTTCAATTGTTGGATTTTTCCTACAAGTGAAAAAAATATTCTTCTCAACATCTCCATGGTGGAGTCGAATAGGGTGGGGTGTGATGGAAGTCTTTTGAAAGGTGAATTTGATGGGATGAAAAATGGGATTAGAAATGAGACTAATTCAAACTTCGAAACACTATACAAACTTATTTTGATTTGCATTTCAATTTACAAATTGTCCCACAAAGGACAAGAGAAATGACAACAATGGATGAAGAGTCAACTTTAGCATGGTTTGAAATAACAAGATGGCCAAACTGGTCACTTACTGGTAGGAGGTCTGAAATATCATCATTTGTTATTTTCTTCGTTGTCCTTAATTTAGAAGCCTTTTGCGTCCCATCCTCCAGGTAAGTAGCAGCCTCCTCCTCCTCCTCAGCAATGATATCCTCCTCTGTGTCAGTCTCTCCCAGGACCTTTGATGCTGCACATTCAGCCTCCTTAAGGCTCAGAATGACTTGGTTAGCATTCATCTCCAATGTGTTGGATAGAATCTTTACAATAGCATTTATGGTGTCTGCATTGCGACTGGGAGGTATCAAACTCTTCACGTTCCATACAGTACCTGGAAGGCAAATATTTGCAATAATTATGAGGATGATAAGCCTGGGTGCTTTAGTGATGTACAATTAGAAACTCTTTAAACTAGCGAGAATCACTGTCCCTCACCACCTGCCGTGAGTACAGCATAAAATTACATTGCCAAAGGCAATGTACTGTAACACACGTACAAGTCATGTAGTGCTGTTATCCATGTTCACCGTGTGGCAGTGCTGCTGTATCAAAAAGTATATGTAGAGACATCTGAAAATATGAAGAAACATGCAAAGTTTCTCCTGTATCAATACTCAGTTGACCAATAAAAATATTATTCTTGTAGAGTCAGGTACCCTAATCAATGCCGGTTAAAAGCTGTAAAATATTCTAAATACCAAATGCACTACTTGGAACGCTTCTTTCACAGGGAACATGATAAATCCATGTCATGTAGATTTTGCATACAGCATTACAATGACTGCAGCATTTATACTACAGTATCAATCTTTTTTTCTTTATTGTGATTTCACTTGGGTTTATTGAAAACGAGCATCATCATTTTATAATGAAAACTAAAAGTAGAATCTAACTGAAATCTATAGTATCTAATATCGAAGAACCTAAATACATTTCTACAATTAGGATTTATAAATGAGACAAATTCACACTTCTAAACACTGTACTAACTGGTTTTGATTTGCAATATTACAAAATATGTTTAATGCGAGATTGATCGCTGTTATTCCTACACCCAATGTACATACAGAATTCATAGAATAATGAAAGGATTACACTCTTTTCTCTTGGGCAGATTACTGGAACAGAATTTTAGTGTTGTTGCCCTGAATTAGATATGTTACCTGCTACAAGTGTTTGCAACAGCAGATGTTCGGTGGTATCTTTGGATGATAAGAGTACTACTTCCAACACTTGTAGAGCTGAGGGAGATAAAGCCGCCAAAAGCTCAGCATTGTCCTCAGTGACTGCCTGCAAACAATAAGCTGTGGACAGAAACATCAGATCTACTCAGCTTTAAATTATTCAGTCGCATGCAAAAAAAAATCCACGTTTCATACTTGCAAGCAGCAGAATCATACCAATTTTTACATCATTACATCTGATTTATGTAGGTTGCAATTTGGTGGCATTTCAGATAAAGAGTCCAGGTTCATATGGAAACTCCCTTTAGACCAGCCAATATTCCAAAATTAAAACCAGGAAAATATATTAACAACAACAAGATTCCATTTATTGAGCGCCTTTCACGTCGGGAGGACGTCCCAAGGCGCTGGACAGTTGGGTCAGGACCCGAGCAGGGGGGAAATGGTCAGGTGAGGGGAGGGAAGGGAGGGAGCGAGGAGGGGGTAGAGAGTCGAGAGGGGAGCTGAAGGCACGGTCAAAGAGAAAGGTCTTGAGACCGGCCTTGAAGGAGGAAAGGGAGGAGGCAAGGCGAAGGCACTGGGGGATAGAGTTCCAGAGTCTAGGGGTTGAGAGGCTGAAGGCCCGGCCACTGATGGTAGGGCGGTTGGGGCGGGGGATGTGGAGCAGACCGGAGCCAGAGGAACGGAGGGTATGGGCAGGTAGGTAGGGGATAGTAGGTCGGAGAGGTAGGAGGGAGCAAGGCCGTGAATGGCCTTGTAGGTGAGGGTGAGGATCTTGAATTCGATCCTCTGGGGGATGGGGAGCCAGTGGAGGCGAGCGAGGGTGGGAGTGATGTGTTCCCGCATTCCACAATGTGGAATATATTGGAAACCTGAGAAGCTACCAACATGTTTTCTTCCATTAATTTAAATGTGCATTACAATGGAAAGAGTTTAGCAACTTCAATTAAGATGAGACTCTGATCAGTGAGAAAGAGGGTGGACAGATTGCACTCAGGATCTGGAACTCTGGCTGATTTCTACTTCCCTCCCTTCGTATCCGAGACCAATTGTATGTGGTACCCCAAATGCTCCTCAGTTGCAGTCAACTAATTCAGACAGTAAATTGAGCCTGTAATATCAGTTGCATATGGTTTGGTGCTACAGCAATCAATATCTTTTTACTCATGAGGACTTTAAGAGAGCTCTCTATGTGGGTTATCTGGGGAGCCTCAAGCAGATTAGAACTTGTTTGTAGCACATTTGGAACTAATTCTAAAATTACTTTAGTACTTGGAGTCTTGTAACTCAGTGGTTAGAGCACTCGCCTCGCAAGTGAGAGATCTGGGTTCGATTGCTGCCAGGGAGAAATGTTGGGCAGGTTTCCTTATGCCTCGGTTTACCTAGCAGTAAGTAGGAACCCGGTTGTTAAGACGGTCTCTCAAAAAAACAATAATAATTTGGTCACTCAATCCAGACTATTTGTGGGACACTGCTGTGAGCAATCGGCTGCTGCGTTTCACCCACAAATGTACAGCCAATTCACTTTACAGTATATTCTGTGAAGCGCTTTGAGACATCTAGAAGACGTGAAAAGCACTATATCAAATGCAAGGATTATTATTATCACTTTTCTCAAAAATACAAACCACAAAAATAAAGATCTATGTAAGTTTGAGATACATTTCTTTTCTGGTTTAGCTTTAACAAAATAAACTGGAGCGATACAAATTATCTAATTGCACTGTTTGTTTTAAACCAACCGGTTACTTCATTTTTCAACATTGACAAGTAGAAGATACATTGGAGCTGTCATCATACACTGACTATTCACCTGAAGCAATTGGGCAAACTGTAATCACACAATCAAGTGGATACCCAGAAAAATAAACAAATAATATTCCCCAGGGTGTTTTTATTGAGTGTTCATTCATTAAATGTTCAAGTGCACAAGTTCCCCAATTCCAAAAGTAAGAAAGCAAAACATAAATACATACAGTCACACTTTCATGCACAGATTTCCTACAATGTGCAGTAAGAGCAATTACTGAGGCTTTATCGTAAATACAACAGCTGCACCACACACTGAATGTTGTTAATGGAACAGCTTACCTGCAGAAAGGGCCAATTCAACATTTGTGGAAAATTGTCTCAGGCACTGAAGGCAAACATCCAGCAAACCTTCTTTGTTAAATACGAACACTGCCCTGCTGCTGCTCTCACTAAGAAAACAAGAGAGAAATGCCAGTCAACCTCTCTTCGTTCAACAACTACTGTGCAGTACATTTGTTTGGGTTTCCAGTGCCAAGACTGCTTCATGCTTGTGTACAAGCCATTAACCTATCCATCTAGAATAATGGAATCGGATACCTTGCCATGAGGCAAGATTTACAAGAGAAACAATGCATTCGTTCGAACACAATGCCAACCTCACCTGATAAAAAAACATGAGTGGCAATCAATATTTAGGCTAATTTGCCAAACAAAGAAAANTCTGTTTCTGGAACAACTATTATGACAGAAGCAATAATTTCCAGGAAAAATTAGCATATATCAGTTGCTTATGTACAAGGCACAAAATGATAATGTAAATATACAATATTGAAGCATCTCCTTCAAACGGCAGCTAAAGCAAATACAAGAAGAGGGAACAGAAAATAACTTGTATTTATTTAGCTCTTATCACATAGAGTAGAATAACATCTTGGAGCACCCTTTATAAAGATGGTGCCAGAAAAAGTTTAATATCCAACATGAATTGCTCTCTAATCATTAACGAACAATAACTAAGCTTATCCTTAGAAAGAGAATTTCATAAAGTCTGTGCTATGAACATGTAGGAATGATTGCCCCCTTTATAACAAAGAACATACTTTTCATAAAATTTACTCTGTTAAGCCAATGATTATCTGCAGCAGACAAATAGGATTAAAAACTACAGGAAAAAAGAACATTTAAATTGTTTGCAGAGTAATGAAAAAATACTAACAATTACTTTACTCTGTGGGTACTTGTGTTTCTGAACATTTAGTGAAAAGTAAACTTACCACAAATTCCAGAGAAGGTGGATAGCTTCATTGGCTATATCCTCCACATAGTTTTTCTGTGCACCTTTCCCTTTTTGTAAAACGGCCATGTTTGCATCCAATCCTGTACAACACTGTAACCATGCAACAGATATAGTTTAATGGCTTTTAACTGAAATTACTGCACGTCTGTAAAGAAGGCTCATATAAAGGTGGCAAAGTAAGCAAGAGTTCCAACACTTTGTGCCAAGGAGTGGCACAAAGATCCGTGCCCACAATTCACATACAAGTATGATTCCCAATCTCAACTGTGGCACTGTGAGGGAATGAGGAATAGCAAGCAGAGTGCCAATCATGCCAGCTGCTCTCACACAGCCCTTGTGTGCAGCCAGCTACATAATAGCATCAGTGGAAGTTCCTCTCAAACTGCCCTCTCATAGAAGGAACAGAATATGAGTAGACAGGGAGGGAAATCCTAAAATAATCCAAAACAACATTACATGTTTGGCTCGTCTGGTTTACTCAAAGGGCTTACCTCCCGTAACAATGCAATGAGTGGGGTCATGATACCTCGTTTGACCATCTCATCGCACACATCGAAACCACCACAAGCACTGAGGTTCCTGTTGTAAATAAATACGTTTCACATTAGATCCTTTCATGTTCATTTCAAGACTCCTTTCATACAGTATTGCTATTTACAGTTTTCGCAATAAATTATTTATTAAGTCCAGTTTCTTAAGTTTATTAAGTTTCCCTTAACCCTAAAATGAACTGCAAGTCCCGTTAACTCCTGGTGAGGACAAGTACAGCAAGGCACTCAAGTTACAAGGCACCGTTTCTACCGAGTTATCACAATTACAATAATAAACTGACAATTATACAGAGTGTGTCTTTAGTTATTGATCACTGCGCCTCCTGTTACCATGACATCCCTAGTTTAATTTGAAAGGATTCTTCAGTTTCAAACAACATACTTCTTGCCACTTTTTATATTGCAGCTTTTATATCTTCTGTTTTGCAAATGATCTCTCCTCTCCCCTTATTCGATTATAATACTACTGACCAATATTGAATAACCACAAAAAAGCTACATGAATTACTAAAAATGCTAACAATATTAAAGTACATTACCATGGCTAGAACATCTTTATAAGCTTGATAATTTTAAAGAATTATGATATGATAAATACAAAATCCCATTTGATATGTGATACCAATGCTCTTACAAGCATTAATACAAAATACAATACAAAATTACATTTGTATATTGCCTTTCTCATTGGGAGGATGCTAACCTGAGTGCACCAGCAGCTGTCTCCCTGACAGCTACGCTCGGATCAAGAAGCATAGGTCCCAAACACCTGACAGCATCTTTCTGTAGAAAGGATGGGATCACCATTTTCTCCTGAACAAGTTTTGAAATACTTGCACACGCAAGTTCCCGTACATCAGGAGAGCCACTCTGCAACTGTCACAAGAGCAAAGTTTAGTCTTTATGCACGTTAATAATAATAATCCTTGCATTTGATATAGCGCTTTTCACATCTAGACGTCTCAAAGCACTTCACAGAATACTGTAAAGTGAATTGACCGTATATTTGTGGGCGAAACGCGGCAGCCAATTGTGCATAGCAGTGTCCCACAAAGAGTCGTGGATTGAAAATTATCAATTTATTATTGTTTTGGAGGGATTATTATTAGGCGCGTGGAGTAAGGAAACTTGTCCAAGGTTTCGCCCTGCCTGGAATTGAACCCAGGTGTCTCACTTGCAAGGCAAGTGCTCTACCACTGAGCTACAGGACTCCACGAGGTTAATAATAATAATACTTGCATTTGATATAGTGCTTTTCACGTCGGGAGGACGTCCCAAAAGCGCTTCACAGAACACACTGTAAAGTGAATTGACTGTATATTTGTGGGCGAACGCGGCAGCCAATTGCGCACAGCAATGTCCCACAAACAGTCGTTGATTGAAAATGACTAATTTATTATTGTTTTTGGCTTTGGAGGGATTATTATTAGGCGTATGGAGTATGTTATTTGTCAGTAAGGTAAAGTGAGGCTAACTAGTACAATTCTCACATTTGGATTACCAAGAGCGCTTTTTAACTTGCTGATATATACTTCTTTGCCTTTGTGCTCTTTACAACTCAGATAACATCTGGCATTCACTCTAGGGCACGCGTACATTTCCCGAGCTTTTGTAAAGCACCGATCGTTCCATTGTCGAAATGCGAAGCCATGATACAAGTTTCCAAATCGATTGTGACAAGTGACTGAAAGAGCTTATTGATCACAATGTTTCTTTCTGAAGAGCAACACGACCGGGTTTGCTGTAAACATATTTACATGTCAGCGCCATGCTATTACAATCTTACAATTACTTACTCATCTTACTCGCTTTGCAAGTGAGAGACCTGAGTTCAATTCCAGGCAGAGGGCAAAACCTTGGGCAAGTTTCCTTACTCCACACAGAGCCTAATAGCAATCCCTCCAAAACCAAAAACAATAATAAATTGGTCATTTTCAATCTACGACTGTTTGTGGGACATTACTGTGCGCAATTGGCTGCCGCGTTCGCCCACAAATATACAGTAAATTCACTTTACAGTGTGTTCTGTGAAGCGCTTTGGGACATCCTCCCGACGTGAAAAGCGCTATATCAAATGCAAGGATTATTATTATTATTATTATTACAAGCATCAGTTATGAAGGCCACCCAATTGTAAGGTGTGATAATTCTGGTCCTTCGGATGTGCTACTTAAACCGAGGTTCTGCTCTGGTGGACATTAAAAGATCTCACGACACGATTTGGAAAGAGAAGGAAGTTTCTCATGGTGTCCTGTCCGACAATCGTCCAGTTAAATTGATCATTTCCGTGACACCACGAATCGGTACAATTGTTGAACTGAATGTGTTTTCTTTCACTCAGACACAATATTAGGCAAATCCCCCATTGCACTGATTTTTTAAATTAATGTTTGTAATTTTTTTCAAATGTTCAGCGCCCCCTGACGCTACCCCACGTTAAGGAGGTTATATAAATCCTAAGTTATTGTGGTTAAAATGATAATTTGAGACCAGCCAAATGGACGACCGTGGTCTCTTCAAGTTCGGCTCATTCCCATTTAGAAACAACAATGAGGGGGGGGGGAGGGTTGTTGGGTGTGACAAGACCTAAAAAAAAAGATACTCTTGAATATTACAACAGCACTATTCCCTTCTTATCATGAAGAAGACATCAATCACATCACTGAACTGCTGGTGCTGTCTAGTCCAGCTCAATGAGATGTGAGGGTGGGTGGTGGAGGAGGGGGGGGTCAGGATGGTAGTGGGTGGGGGGGTCAGGGTGGTGGGGGGGGGTGGGGGAGAGAGGGTGGAAACACTCAGTAACACTCCAGGCTTTTAAGAAAACTGAAAGAAACCTGAAACCCATCCATGGCACTTCAAGCAAAAGATGACCCATGACTGGGCGACCTGCTGCAGCTGTGGCACAGGAGGGGAAGCGATGGGAGCAGAGGGGAGAGGTGCAGATGGGAATCTCCTTACTTTATCCAGTAAATCCCCGGCCGGTGAGCAAACTTCCCTCTCCCCTCCTCCTCCTCCTCCTCCTCCTGCTGCTGCTGCTGCTGCTCCTCCTGCTGCTGCTGCTCCTCCTGCTGCTGCTGCTGCTGCTCCAGCTGCAGCTCCTCGGCGCCGGCGCCGGTGGGGGAAAACACGGGCCGTGCAAACTTCCTCGTCTTCATCTTCCCCATAGCTGTGCGAGGAGCGGGTCCGGGCTCTGGTCAATCTGGGGTGTGGGGAGGGGGAGAGAGACACAGACAGAGAGAGAGAGAGAGAGAGACAGACACACACACACAGACAGACAGAGAGAGACAGATACAGACAGAGCGCTGTGGCTACAGTGCGATACAATGTAACGCTGCACCATGTGAGGAGCCGCGGTGTAACGCTGTCGCACAGGCAGCGAGCGCATGTGTGGCAGAGCCTCCCCACCCCTCACGTCACGACCGGGGAGGGTACAGGAACATGACTGCACTCACACAACAACAACAACAACAAGATTCCATTTATAAAGCGCCTTTCACGTCAGGAGGACGTCCCAAGGCACATTACATATATATATACATACATACATACACACACACACGCACGCGTGTGTCTGCAAATTAAAACACTACCCCACCCCTCCCTGCAACTGGGCAACGGATCTGATGGTGCAAATGTGCAATAGCATTCCCCCCCCACCACACCGCCCACCCCACTTCCGAGTGCTCGACACAAAAAAAAATCTAGGGGGGGGGGGGGTGGGGTTTGATGACCACTGTCAAGGTGCTGTCCCATCATCTCCTGATTTCAAGAGGGTTTTCTTCATGCAATACTTTTTTTTAAAACAAAAGGGTTAAAGGCGGATCATTTTTGGTACATCCTCTGCTGTACCGAGTGGGCAGAGCTGGGGCTCGGGTCTCAGTCGGTGAGCAGACCCTGTTAGGTGCTGAGTTAACTATTTTGACCTCAGCTGGGATGTGGTGAGGCTACTGAAATTGGTCCCTGTATTTCAGGAAGGGTAGGGGGGGGGAGGGGGAAATCAGACTAGAATACTTGAACCTGGCGTAGGTCCAAAGAAAATCACTATTCTGTATCATATATTGGAAATCAGGGGATTGCAATAGCAAAGCCATAGGATCTGCAAATGTCTTTCTTGCTGGCCTTACTCTTACCCGATTACCGGTGGCATTTTTTGTTGTGGGAGTTTTTGTTTTTCCATCCCTCTCGTGATTAGATGTCCAACGCCTCTTCTCCTTGTTTAATATAGTGCTGGTGCCCACCAGGTTCAAAGGATATGAATTCAATTATGTATATATTTTGTAAACAATTCTTGCTTTGTTAATGTATGTCTTCCAAAATATCAAGCAGCATTGCTGACCGTATTCCCTATGTAACCTCCTGAGGGAAAGCTGGTGTGAGTTTGTTAAATGCTAAATTTACCCTCTTAAAGAAACATCTGAGAAATTCCATACTCCATTATACCAATAGAATCCGAATTTTTCAAACCACCCTATGTATTCAACAGATTCAAATATGTAATTCAAAATGTAATTGCTAATGTTTTGCAATTGATTTATTTCTCTAAAACCATTGAGTTCACTTTTCGAGACATTGATCCATATAAATGGTTTATTGCTATGTACACAGGCCTACAAAATTTAAGTGGCTGAAAAAACAGTTACAATGTCATGATGCTTTTAAAATTTAAAAATGTAAATCATTCAAGTCATTAAAATACATCTAGAGGCAAAAGTAATACTGTAATAAGTTCCAGAAGTATAATAAAGCAAGATTCAAAAATGTGAATTATAACTTATACACAACCGCACAAGTCTGTGCATAATTGAAAAGTGATGGTAGAATCTTCAATTTTTTTGTGCAACAGTTTGCAAAACAATTATGTAACATGATGTGAATGAGTTAAGGATTCAAGTTATCACCTGAAGTACTGATTATCCATCCCTTTAATTCATCTGCAGCCTAGATGCAACAAGGACAGAGGTGCCTTATAACAGATAGGTGAACAGCAAAGGTGTCTTGGCAACAAAGTTGAACAAGATATGCTAACCATTTTTGTCTTAGAGGCATATGTTCATCAGGACAAAACAATAATGAGAAGTACACAATAGATTTGATGTCTTGTTGGAACATTGTTTTATACATTTAACCCAATTCTCAATCAATGAGAATCAGTTTTTAAATTTCTTGTTACTGTATTTAATGAGTATGTATATACAATAGGTACAAAAAGCATCATATTAAAATATAAAGGAATAAAGTCCAGCTCAGAAGTTAAAACAGAAGAATTTAGGATCTTATCAATAAATTAAAGTGACCCGGTGACATTTAAATTCAGAAAAAGAATTGCCAATTGTATTTTGTACAACCTGCTAGCTGGAGTCCTGGATTTCTTATAAAATAACGCATCCTTATTGCTGATAATTTTCCTAATCCGAGGATCTTTACTGATGTGCAAATAAGGAGCTGATTCTGGAAGAGGCTGATCAGTGGACTTTTGCAGTATTTTCACATTTTCGAAGAGCCACGAATGAATGACCTGCAGATTTGTTATTGTACGTGAGGTCTGGGCTTTAATATAAGCTTTCCAGTCTATAAAAGAGAAACAGCCAAACAATTAAAAAAACTTCCAAATGTCATAAAATCCCAACCAATGCTATAACAGAGTGGATTCACTTGTTCACATTTGTTTCTGCATGCATGCAGAAAGACACTCAGCTTCATTCGTGCTTCAAAACACTGGCGGGCATGTGGGAAGCCAAATTGGCAAATTGGGTCATTAGGTTGCTGCCAATATCACTTTCTGGCATAAAGACATCGGCGGCAATCTGAATACCTGGACGTCAGCCATTGATCAGTGTGCTGGAAGCCAAAATGGCTAACTTATGGGGCATTAAGTGGCCAACAATGCCACTTTATGCCTGCACATCAGTGTTTTGCAGCATTAATGGAGCTAATGCATTAATTTTGGATAAGTAAATGTCAGGGTCCACACCCCAATAAGGGAACACATTTTATAACTGGGTTCTACCGCATTAATAAAAACAAACTACTGAAATTAATGACTTGCAATATTCCAATGTTCATAAAACAACCAGGAATTATTGCATCAATGTTTCCAGAACAAGTAAAAATAAAGGATTGTATCCAATGAGGGGGATACCCGTAACGAAAATTGGTAAATTCCCTCCTTCGGCAATTTATTCCCATGTATTTATTCCATAGAGAGCTACTTACATCATCGCATGACATATTGTACTCTGCCAGGACAGTTCGACATCTTGCAGCAATACTGTGAGATACAGTTAATGAAAACCAACTTCTTTAGAAAGTTTGTCCTTTACTTTTGTTTAAAAGTTAGGTTACTTGCTATTGATATCCTTCGAAAATAGACAGAATGAAGAGAAAACTATGCATGAGAAATTCTCAAGTTAAGTATCATGATTTTGATGAAGGATTTCTCTCTTAGTCCACACCATTGCTAGCATAGACCCTTTTCACTCTTTGTACCGGTTACCTCCACACAAATGTTAATTAAAATTAAACAGAGTTAGGGAGATTAACGGACATTATTCAGCTAACAGTTTCTATGCTTTTAAGTGCTTTAGTTAGCAGTTATACATGATGTGGACATGAAGCTCAATTACAACATAACATTTACCAAGCCCTGAAAGCTTTTATCTCTCTTTATCAACCACTACCACATTCTCAGCAATTTGTTTCACACTGTGAAAGGTACTACAAAGGATACATTGATGGTGCAACCACTCTTTTATGTATTCCAGCAAAAAATAAACCAATAAGAGTTATACAACTAATTGTAAAGAATGGATGATTCCATAGCGATGTGAAGAAAGATACCTAAAAAGATAGAACAGTCATAAAGGCATTTTAATTTTGTAATGTTTTTATAAATAGTATCAACTCATTTCAATAAATCCTAAAAATGAATTCAAATATTAGGATGATATCAATAAAAGGAATAAACAGCAACGATTTACATATCTTAATTTATTTTATGTTTGCTGCAACATCACACTTATTGCTGTTGAACCTGAAGTTGTTTGAATTGGGCAAAAGCAGGTGCTGAACTTTTAAAATAATGCCATCAACAATGGAAATTGCTGTCTCTTCAATTCACATAAATGAAAAAGAACATGGAATGAGAAAAGGTAATTTAACTCATCGTACTAGTTCCCTCTACAGATCAAGTACAAACTGCATTATCATAAAAACTAATTAATCATGAATTTTACACAGTTCAACAGGACCCAACTATATTTGACTTATCCAGTAAAACTGGTCGTTAACATCTGACATAAAAAGGAAAATTAAACTAAAATATTTCAACAAAGATCTCCTTTACTGATATAATCTGGGGTGTGAGATGGTATTGCCTTCCAGGACTCTAATGTTATCCATGCCATTCTGGTTATATATAAAAATCAGTTCAATTGTGCTAATTTGTAATTGAGGCAAATTTCCAAGGGTGACATGTAGCCAAATACAGCAGTTGTAATTTACAAACTTCAGCGAAGCTGGCAATACATCATATAACCATATGGTTTTCTAGCAACACCATTAAAAATTGGAATACAATCAGAAAATGCTGGAAATGAACACTTGATCCATCAGGATCTGAAAGAGAATATTGGATTAACAATAAGTGTTACCTTATTTTTCTCTTTCAGATACTGATCGAATTGCTGTGCATTTGCAACAATCAAAATGTTTCTTTATTGCAAATTTAGACTTATTATCAGCAGAAAAATCAAGCAGCTACAACTAAATTGCATGCAAATAATAATTACTAAGGATCTTTGAGGTCCACATATGAGTGAAACTCGGATAAGAAAGTGAAATAAACAAGGGTTCAACTTTACCTTTTGTGTTTCAGGATCTATTAACCAGTTCCAGGCACCTGTTGCAGTACACACTGAAACAACTATGAGAATCACTGTGAACAAAGTTAACATTTTGATATCAAATGATTAAGCAGAGCACAGTAATTTGAATTTCAAGGAAAAAAATACATTTGAAATATACTTGCAATAGCTCCATACATAAAACTGTACATGTACCATTCTTTGCCAACTATTTGTCTGTAGACTTAGGAGGTAATTTATTAACCCACCCTCCAATCCGTATTATTGTCATACTGTATATTATACACGTATTGTTAGGATTTCAGTTACTCATAGTGATAGAAGAAAGGATTCCTATAAAATATAATGGTGGCATGAAACAATATTGCGCCCCGTCCAATTAGTCTGAACTTCAGCAGCTTAATTCTACGATTTGTTGTTGCATTCTCAATTTATCTAACACTCACTTCGCCAACGTCCTGTCGCAGGTTGTAAACAGGAGACGTACTCTGTCAATCTCCTCTCAAAAGCCTTCAGATCTGTAACAGAATACGAAAAGTGTCCAACTTGCTGCTGCTGCAAAAAATGAGAAGATGACCACCCAACCCACCCATGCCCCCTCCATCCTCTCACCCCTGAACCTCTCGCTCAATCTCCTCCACATGTAGGTGGCAAACATGTGTCTTGAGTTGGCTATTCTATGTAATGGTGATGGAGTTCCACATGTGTTGGGACACCTGGGGACGAGTCTATCTCAACCCCAACCTCCACCACCCCCTGCCCCAACCTCCACCACCCCCTGCCCCAACCTCCACCACCCCCTGCCCCAACCTCCACCACCCCTTGCCCCAACCTCCACCCCCTACCCCAACCCTCAGCCGCAACCTCCACCCTCAGCCCCAACCCTCAGCCGCAACCTCCACCCTCAGCCCCTTTCTACGCCCGAAGTCCTCCCTCCATCTCAGATCCCCTCAACCTCCCTCAGATCCCCTCAACCTCCCCCAGCTCGCACCCTCCAGTCCAGCTCACGCTTCCCCTCTCTCTCCCCCCCACCTTCAGCCTGCTCCAGGGAATTCATCGCCGCGGAACCAATGAACGTTAGTGAAGAGGTCGCACAGCCCAAAACGCCGCGGAGGAGGAGGAGGCGGCGGCGGCGGTGATAGTAGTAGTAGTGTGGTAGTAGTTGTTGTCGACGTCTTGTCCTGTCCTGTCCTCCTCTGCCCTGCACTCCCCCAGAGAGGTGGCCGGCGATTGGCCGCTTGGCCGCGTGCGTGTGAGTGAGGAAGCGTCTGATTGGCGGAGGGGAGCGGGTGCTGATTCCGGTTCCGGTTCCGGTAGGCGGTTGGTTGGTGGCGGTGAGGCTCGAGCTCCGGGAGTCCGACAACACTCGTGTAAGTTTTTTTTTAATTCGGAGTGGGGGGAGAGATTTTTCTCTCAACACACACTCTCGGACTTCTTGACCGTCCGCGGCTCAACGGGCAGAGAGGAGGGGAAGACGGCGGGCTCTGGAGCTGGAGCTGTAGGCCGTGGGGCGGCCATTGTGCCGCGTGTTTGTTTTGTTGTTAGCTGCTCGCTCTCGTCTCCCTTTGTTGGCCGTCACTAAGGCGCAGGCCCCGCCCGGGCGGACAAGGCCGACTTCAGGCCCTCACTCCCGTTTCCTTTCCGGGAGCCGCACCGGCTCGGTCCGTCTGCACTCCCGCCTTCCGTTACCGCCGAGGCGGTGGGTGGGTGGGTGGGGGGGGAGTCGGTGCAAAACGATAATACTAATAATACTAATAATAATCCTTGCATTTGATGTGGCGCCTTTTACCACGTCTTTGAGGCGTCTCAAAGCGCTTCACGGAATATACTGTAAAAGTGTAGTGACTGTGTCTTTTGTGGGTGAAACGAAAAGATTTGTTGGGGGATTACTGAGTTCCTGGCTGCTTCTACTCTCATTTTAGGCCTATACTTCCCCCTCCACCACCACCACCCACTTACTTCCCTCACTCGTTTTACATTAAATTCACGGAGTTTGGGAGGTGGGGTTGGGGTGGAATTGTTATCAACGCTCGCATTTGGTGCAGCGCCTTAACCGTGTCTTAGACGTCGAGATGTCTCCAATCGCTTCACAGAAAAGGGTGTAAAGTGTATTGCTTGTGTATTTTAATTTCCTTGTCCCAAACTTTCATTGATATGGTGGCCGGATAATATCACAATGGTTGAAACATGTAATAAAATACCATTGAAAAGATCCAAGTGAGATTATTTGAAGCAGAGACTCATTCTCTTTGAACTGGACTCGTTGTTTATCACGTGATGAAAGTTCAGCTTGAGCAGTTTTATTGTTTGGTTGTTCAAAATGGAAAATGAGCCTTGCACTTTGAATACTGTATTAAATATTCAATTTGACATGGCCTGGTCAATAAGCAATGTAATCCTAACCTGATTTGATGGTTGTACCACAAACCAATCACTCCCATTCTTGCACGGCTTCACTTGCTCCTCACCGTTCTCACCTTCAAAGCCCTCCATGGTCTTGTTTCCCCCCCTGACCTCCTAACCCCATATCAGCCTGTCTGCTCCCTCTGCTCGGTGGACACCGGCCTGCTTCAGGTCCCCCACACTTCCACCCCACCATTGGCAGTCGGGCATTTAGCATCTCTGCCCCTATGCTCTGGAACTCTATCCCACAATCTCTCTGCCTCACCCCCTCTCTTGCCTCCTTTAAGTCTCGTTCTGAAGAGCTTCCTCTTTGACCGTGCCTTCGAACATCCTCCCACCTTGTCCTCCACCCGTCCTGACCTCAACTCCCAGCTCTCGTCCAAAAACCTTGGCTGTCCAGCGCCATGGGACGTCTTTCCAACGTGCAGGGCACTATACAAATGTAATTTGTTGTTCTAGTTGGTACGGGAAAGAGAGAAGAAGCATTCTTCTGATTTGTACATCACAGCTAATGATAATCTTTGCATTTGATTTAGTGTTTTATCATGTTGTCAAGACATCTCAAACTGCTTCCCAGGATTTTACTGTGCAGTGACTGTATTTGTATGCAAATGTAGCAGCCAATTTGCACACAGCAATGTCCCACAAACAACCAATGAAGTGAGTGATGAATTGCATTTTGGAGACTGTTGGCCACGCCACTGGGAGAAACCCTCTTCTCTTTTTTGAATTGTGCTGTGCGGTCTTTAACGTTGATTGAACAGGCAATTAGGGCCTTGAATCAATGTCTCATTCGGAAGGTCCACCTCCAGCAATGCAGTGCATCCCCACTGCTGCACTGTGGATGCAGCCAAGATTGAGAGTTTAAACTCCTGAATGGGTTTGAACCCATAAATTACTGACTTGGAGGAGAGATTGCTACCAACTGAGTCAGACTGATACCCAAGAATTCAATTGCAAAAAGTGTAGTTTCAGATTGTTGTAGTTTGACTCAAACTATTGTTTATTGGCTTAATGTAACTTTATTTTTGAAACAATAGTTTTATTGGTGAGGGACTTTTAAAATAGGGTCCTACATCTTATAGCTTGAGTTTTTGTTCTATTTATATCACCAAACAACATTGTCTTAAAATTGCTAGTTTAAGACGTTTTATTTCATTTCCCACACTACAAACTGCTTTTATCCCTCATTTCTGAAATTTAATTACAAAGGCTTTGTAAAAGTTAACTTATTAACAGTTATTGATCTCTTTAGATTTTAATTAGGCAGAATGCTTTTCCCAATCAGATCGATAAACTTTGAGGTGAATTTAGTGCTGCTGGATTGCATTTTAAGGAGTGAATTATGGGAAGTATAACTTGGCATTCTATGGTATGGAATGTAACCAGTCTTGTAATTGATTCTTGTGTAATTATATTGGGCAAATAATGTAACTGTTGTATAGCCTGTTTCTGTAGATGCAAAGTAATATGTAATAGATGAGTAATGATATTTGAAAATGGAAATTATTTTTACGGTGATCTGAATCCACAGCAAGTAGGTTATATTGTCCAGTTGGAAGTTGAATGTTGTCTTCAGTGTTTTGTTAACTCCGTTTATGCCAATGTTTTGAGTAAAATTAGCACCTTTTCAGCAGTGTTTTGAATTAAAATAACATTGCTGCAGATTGTTGTGGAAAAGACTTGAGGAATCTGACTGGAAACTGAACTGTAGTTTGGCCTCTTGGACTTGTATTAAGAGGATGCTGTGAAATGTATTTCTTAGGATGCACAGTAGTCGGTGGATGCATTTTTTCTTTTTCTCTAGCTGGGTTGCCACATGTTATTTGGTCATTTTGTAAAAGAAGAGCACTTTGCTTCCCTTTGTGGAAGCATTCTGCCTCTTGTGCGTTATTAACAATGGAATGCAATGGTGTTCGAAGGAACACAATAGTAAACAGAATGTTAATGGTAAACTCATTTAGAACACATTAAATACCAGGTGGAATGGTGTGGTGACTCGTAGTTATGTCTTTTGGAACATAATAAATAGGCAGTTTAGATGTCCCTTGAAATTATAAAAGTACAAGTACAAAGGTATGTATGAGAAGTCACCACTGAAATTTTTGGTACTTATGGGGCAAAGCCACCCCCCCCCCCCACCCCGGCTCATTCACTTACTGTAACTGCTATTTGTTTTGTGTATCATTTTGTATATGTAGTAGAGCTTCTTGAGAGGCTTGACCTAATAAACTGTTTAAAAACAAAAATAGAGACCTCTCTGCCTTTGTCAGAAAACAAGATAAGGCATAGGTGTTTTGGCTCGAAAGACCTCGAGTCTTCAAGTCTCATAAAATATTGCAAATTGGCAATGCAATCTTAATCCTTTGCAGCGTTCTGCTCTTGATTGTTGAAATTGGAAAATTAATGATGTAGAAGATTGTGTACTCACAATCCCAAATTCTCCATATTAGTGCTGTAATGCAACGATTAACAATTCAAATAGGAATTACTCATTGGCTAATCTTTATTGATCGAGCTTTGGTATTCTCTGATTCATAAGAATTTTGGTTAAATGACTAATAAAACAATACTTATGTTTCATATATTTTCGCAAGATGCAGGATTTGCTGTAAAGTGCATTGATATTTTGTGAGTGAATGCCCACAAATGTTTATGTGTTGTCTTTTTTTAATTAGAGCATCTTAAAATGCCAATGCATAGGATTATAGGTGATTTTGGGTAGTATTATTCCCAAGTAATGAAGTATGATTCTGTGGTTGAGATTAAGTGCTACAGTGATACTGTATTGTACATTGTCATTTTGCTGAGATCCAGAACAAACTAATTAAATGAAAGTGTTTTCTCTCTACCCTCAGTTATTGCCTTTAAAATGGTTTTGGCAACTTCATTTTCCTGTGGTTCACAGATGAAAACTGCCAATAATTTTGTTCCACATTAGAGGCAGTCGTTCAAGAGGTCATAAGAATGGCTGGTGTCGAAAGTTTGTTTCGAGTCAATTTGATTATTACTGAAGTTCCCCAACCTAATTGGGGAATCTGCTAAATATTTCAGTAGAATAATTGCATGCTAAATTGTTTGTTTTGTACTTGATCTCACATTATTGTATGAAGAATATGTTGTGTGAGAAGATATACAATCAATGTAATGAGAGTGCAGGCAATATATTTGGTTAAATATCACTTGCATTCCACATATTGCCTTATATAGTGTCTCTTTGCAAACATTTTGAGGTTTTTATGTAGCTACCCAACTAATAGACCAACAGGGTATGGATGAATGTGACTGTATGCTTGTGTAGAACACATGTTTTGTATTGATATTCCAAGGTATTGTGCCTTTTAAACTTGAATTGCTAGAACAATTTTTTTTATTTCTGTAGGTAGAAATGTCTGCTTGGTTAAATTCACGGGTAGGCCCCTCACATAGACTCAGTCCAGACGAAAGGTAAGAAGAACCTCCTTGTTTTGTATATTGAAATGTATAAACAATTCAAATATTAAACCCAACCATCTGATTTGTAATTTGTAAATATACTGTTCAATTTAAAGGCTTGAGCTAACATTTTCAAATATTTTAATGAATATACAATTTGAAGGTTGATATGGGGCATTCCAATCTAAAATTCTATAAGTTCTTTATTAAATTAAGATATTAGTTGGTTGTTAAAAGTTTGTTAATTTGTGTATTTCACCGGTGTAATATAAAATCCTCAGGCTTGTCTGATTACTGATTTCACGGTACTAAGTATTAAAATGGGCATATTATCTTAATTTTTATGCCTTATAAAATGTTTATTCAATTATTTTGTTTTTTCCTTCAGCTGTTGAAAAATAGAAATGGACCTATTGTTAAAGAGATGGAATGTTTCTTTCCTTTAATATGTAATGAAATAAAATCTGATACCACTTGACATGACATTGTACATTGGTGTTTGTTCAACTTTTGTAGCTGAGCTGCAAAATCATGTTCAGTGGTATCACAGTCAATTCCACTCCCCCCGCCCCCCACCACCACCAACACCAATCCCAGAAAGGAGTAACATACTGGAATTTTCAACTATATACTGAGGGAAATGAGCATGTTTGATTGTCTGAAATGCTGTGCTCTGTCCAGCGCCTTGGGACGTCCTCCTGACGTGAAAGGCGCTATACAAATGTAATCTTGTTGTTGTTGTCTTGTAATTTATTCCAACCCCTTTTATCCATTATATAAAGTACACAGGACATTGAACAACTAAATCATGGCTGTTGATACGTAACAAATTGTGATTGGCTATCAGTATTGCAAAATATCTGCTATGTTCAGATTGCTCATCAGTTTCAGGTGCTTGGTTCCCTCTAATATTTAAGCATTGGTAGTTTGAGGATTATTTTCTCACAACATAATTTCTAAATTGATTAACAAATGGTAGTAAAAAGTTTCAGAGGCTGTGTGTGAAGGGCTTCATTGTACTGACCACTTGTGTAAGCAGTTTGCATCATATACCAAAATAACCATTGGTATAGCAGAATCCCCAGTGTAACTGCCATCTTGGTGTTAGTTCTTAAATAAATATTTAATCTCAATAACATATTAAAGTAAAGACTGTATCAGAGATCTTTCTAGGCTGTGTAACTTGGTTTCACATATTAAGGTGTATATACACGCATAGCTAGCAGGAACATTTTTTTAGAAACTTTACAGTTAGAGGTTTTCAGAAAGTTCCTGTGTGAGAAAAGTTTAATTTATTTTAAGAAATTAGCTCAATAGCCTTTCTTGTTTTTTTTAATAGTGCCACGTCTTCTCAAGAACGAGATCGCTCACCTTTGCGAAGTGAAAGAGTTGACCTTTACAGGTATGAAAAAAAGGTGTTTCTAAGTACTGAAATACATTCAATGAGGTTTTCGGGTGGGTAGCGGGAGAAAACATTGGTAATTTGAAGGTAAGGAATGGATTATTTAGGACAATAGAAGTGTTAAATGGATTTTAGTTACTGATTTGCTAAGGTTCTAATTCCAGTACTAAGTTTCTTTACCCACTTTAGATAGTTATGATGTTTTTATATTGTATTTGGGAAATAGACATATAGTGGAAGCCTGTTAAGACGGACATGTCGGGGACGTACATTTTGTCCTGCTTAAGAGGGTCCAGGGTTAACCGAAATACCATTCCCGACCAGCAGAGGAGTGCTGCCGACCCCATATAATAATATGTAATAATGTTGTTTGACTTGAAGCAATGTTAGCTAACCAAACAAGACATCAAGTATTTTAACCTAGGAGTTAAAGGTAAAATACTGTGCTTCCCCTGAGTTTGGTAAAGTATATTTATCTTTGTTTGGCTGCAAAATAATTTCACGCCCAACAGAGGAGCAGCGGCGGCGCTTCCTTCCTCCCATTGCCGTTCACATTGGACTGGGAGGGGACACATCAGCAGCAGCGTTGAGTTGATTGACAGCCTTGGAACCACTTGTGAATGTGTGGCCTCCGCCCATTCACAAGTGGCTCCAGCTGTCAATCAATTGTGATTTGACTCCTCCCATTCCCTGCCTTGTTCTTCCGCATTCCTCAGCCCCTTCGCTGATTGACAGCCCATCTCCATCCACTTGTGGATGGCTGGAGTCTGCTGTCAATCAATCTTAGACTCCTCCCTTCCTGGAGCCCCTTGTGGCTGAATGGAGTGACTCGACACATAGAAGGCGTGAGTGAATACATTCAGCAGCGATCAGCCCGGCATTTGGCCCGAATTCACCCGATTTTTGTTTGAGTCAACTGGCATATTTAAAACAGCTAAGAATACAAGTGTAATGGGGGCCAGGCATTTTGTTCGATTTAGCCGAAGTCCGGGGTTAAGCGGCATCCACCTAAAGCGGATTCCATTGTATTGCACAGATAAAGATTGATGCACGTCCATCTATCCCATGCTTTGTTTAACTCTGGAGTGTTTGTTGGTACTTTATAGGAGTTGAGGAAACTCTCCATTTCCCTGTACTCTTCAATATAGCTTTTGATTTTTTTGAAGTGCAAATTCAGTCATGTTTTCTACATGGGAGATTTTGCTGCGGCTTTCTACAACTTCGTTTTTATTTTTGTGACCTATAGGTGGGAGTTGCAGTCCACTTATGTGGCTACTAAGCGTCATCTGTTTTGAGTCTATTTTGATGTTTTCAACAAAACCTGTTTCAGAAGATGTGGTTTTTATAATTGTGTTGCTGACCTTGGGCTGTTTCCTTTAACATTCATGATTGCTGTCAGATTTCTAGGTGAAGAGCAGTGATGAGTTGTTTGAGTCAATTGTTTTAATTAACAGATTTGTCTCTTTTTTCAGGACTAATGAAGTATTGGAATACTACAGTGGGTATCCTGAAGGTTATAATGCAGAGGACTACAACTATACTTGGCCTGGTATGATTAACCATTAACCTGTTCAATTTCCTTGAATTTTTCCAAAAATAATTGTACAGGAAGTACAAATAAAAGTACTTGAGGGCAAAAAAAAAATCCTTACATTTGGTATAGCGCTTTTCATGTCAGGGGGAAGTCCTTAAAACACTTCAAGGGATGTACTGTAAAGTGTAATGATTGTGGTATTTTGAGGCAACATGTACCAGTTAATTTGCACACATAAATGTCCCACAGTAGTGATGAAGGGGAGAATTGTTGACACGAGAGAAACTCCCATCTCTGCAAATCATGCCATTGGAACTTTTAACGTCCATCTCAACAGGCAGACTGGACTTTGGTTTAATGTCTCACCAAAAAATGGCACCTCCAACAATGCAGCATTGGAGTGTCAGTCTAGATTTTGTGAGTTCAAAGTCCCAACGTGGTGCTTGAACTCACGTCCTTATGGTTCACAGGGAAGAGTGCTACCAACTGAGCCAGGCTGACAACATTCCGCTAAAATGTTATAAATCATATATCCTATTTTTGTGTGTGGCAAACATTACTGATGGAGTCTTGTGTTTGGAAATTTTATTTGCAATCGTTGTCGATAGCATCAGTTAATTGTAACAGATTAAATTATAGGTGTGGATTTAGCTGTGTAAAATGACCTATTTTGTGTATTACAGAGAGCTACAGACCAGATGATAGCCGTCGTGATGAGCTTTATCAGCAGTTCTATAAAGAGATAGAGGATGACTACAGTAAAGAAAAGTACGCAGATTGTGTAGTTATAGCACTAAGCAAGCAACAAGGGTAAGTATTTCCAAGGGGATTTTTTAAACTTATTTCATATGTCTAAATGGGCAAAGTCATAATTTGATGCATGCAGTTTCCTATCTTACATAGGATGGATCCAGCAATTTGTATGACTAACTTAGTTTTGAAATTTTGTTTTGATGTAGAACAATTCTTAAAACTGTTCACATTGTCATTGAATAATTTGTGATTTTTTTAATATCCATTAAATTAATATTTGTTACTGATCTGAATAGTCATATGTATCCTATATTTTGTCTTTTAAGGGATTATGCCAAGCTAGTAGGACGACGAGTGCAAGAACTGGGCCTTCTTGTTGACCTTATGTACCTTAAATTAGAGTTAGCACTTGAAGCTGCTTTGAAAGATGTTAAAGAAGAAGGTTCGCCATTTTGTGTTGTTATTAGTGCAGAACATCAAACTCTATCATCGTGCACAGTGATCATCCTGTGCGGTGGCCACAAAGGTATGTTTGTTTCCACATAGACAAGATGGAGAATTTCATGAACATATACTGCCAGTAATATATTTTGTTCAATTTGTATTTTTATTGAAAGTTTATAAGAAACAAATTTGCCACTTGGGGATTGTCAGGGCAATTGTCCTGCTCCCATGGTCATAACTTTTCTGGTGTCTGGCTATAAGAAAACACATATAGATTGTCTTCCACCTTTGCTTAACATCAGTGGTCGCAACCTGGCCAAACTGCAACTCAACGTAAGAAATTTAGAGAATGAATCTACTTCCTCCCACTTTTAACTTACTGTGCCACCACCACACATGGCATTTGTGTCCTGTTGCAATGTGGTAATTTGAAGAGAATGCTGGTAGACAATCTTGATTTGGGGCTGCACACAAACTTTCCCCATGGAGTGATGGGCAAATTATATCTCCAGCTATGCACAAGATGTTTGTTACATTTACTGCCAAACTCTTCTGTGGGAAGCCACAATTTGAGTTGTGTGACTTCTGAATGGGAGAATACATTTCCTATACTAGGCCATCTAGTGGTCTGACAAGGAGCTGCTCCATCACCAAAGTTGAATCAAAATATTATGCATGATGTACTGTACATCATGTTAATTCCGAATTATCATTCAGGTGTGAGTGGGGCAGTCTAACGTTAATTACTTTTAACCTGGGTGGAAGTTCAAATTATTGTTTTTTATGCATCACATTCTGCATGCTGTATGTATTCTTGAAATGCACTTAATCCTTTCAGATAATTTCATATGAACGTAATTTTGCTGTATTTATCTTTATCACTTATGTTCAGAAATTGTACTTGAGTTTATTTTAAAACTCCCACTCACATTCTCTTAGCTATTTGCGCATTCGTTTCTGCTTCACAAATTTGCACACTATTGGTTTTATACTGTTGCTGAATTTTTGCCCTTACCACGTTTCACATATATCTTGGAATTCTGGGATGTCCTTGCATCAGTGTAAGTTTATAGCTATTTCAAAGAAACCATGCCTTCACCCTCCTTTCCCCCCACCCCCGCCCTTCACCCTCCCCGATCGCCAGCTCGCGTCCGAAACACTGATTGTCCAGCGCCTTGGGATGTCCTCCTGACATGAAAGACGTTGTTGTTAAATTTGCCCTTTTTCTATAGAGCATCGTAATATGCCTTTGGATGATGCACTGGACCTGATTTCTCGTGAGCACAAACGTGTTTACGGTGAACAACAAGAAAAAGAACGACTTGAGATCGCATACAAAGCAGCTAGTTTGGCTGATGATTACCTACACCGTGAATATTATGAGGAAACCCATATTGTGCCAAGCAACATTCGCCATCTTCTGTTTCTGCTGGGTGATGGAAAGCATCTTTATCCTGAAGAGATGCAGAAAATAGCTGAGTACTTGGGCCAGAGAAAGGAGCAGTATGAAGCAGGTTTGTGATGAAATATAATAATTATATCCATCAGATGAAAACCATTTAACTGCATTTGTAATTGTTACCTTTATAATAATTAATTTCAATAAGAGTGAACCAGACTTGGGTGCAATGCACTTGAATGCATTTGTGTAGTTAAATGCACATGAACTTGGATTTAAATTGTTTGAGGCAAAAGTTAACACATTTGCAGCTGCATCTAAATGTTTGAGTGAAGTATTTGAAGTTGACCAAATGCATTTTTTAAAATTCTTCAATGAAGCAGTGAATACCTGATACTTCAGTTGACAGGTGACATTTAATCACAACCCAGACACACTCGCATAGAGTCTGATGTGACTGCACGGAGGTTCCTTCTATGCATAACTGGGTTACGGAAATCATTAAACCGACATTCTACATTCATTTGTAAATATTGTATTCGCACTTGGAGACAAAACTTATTTGAATTTGCATTTAAATGTGGCAAAAGGGTGAAGCTTTTGGGTTTGCATTTATTACACAGCATTCCACTTGCATTGAAATGCACTTGTCCGCATTTGAACCCAAGTTAATTTTTTTTAGTCAACTACAAGGGAATATTATTCTAACAAGCTTCAATGCAGCATTGCCTTGTTTATAAGGTGGATTTGTTATGAACCATTACATTTATTATTGTGCAGTACCTCACGAGATCAGTTGGCCAGCTTTCTGTGAAAGCGATGAGCCCGGATGCTCTGACTGCCAGTCTGTTTTGCGTGGTCCTACATCATGTGCATTGATGTTTTCTGGATCTGGATCAGTGGCTGCTCATAAGAGTGTGGCAAGGGCGCTGCCTCACCTGGCGAGCATTACGAGACCAGCAATTAAACAATTAATTTGCTCAGCTCCCACACTGGTCTCGCAATGCTCGCTGCAAGATCTACAGTGGCTTACGGAGATGAGTGGGGAAGTTGGGTAGGCCCACTTTAAATCTCCTAGCCAGCACGAGACCTGACGTGGGACCAGCGAATCGAACCAATGTGAGCAAGCGGGGTTGAGCGAGAGTGGGAAAGTGACTTGACATCGGACAAGGGTGAAGGGTCCATTTCCGTGGTAACCAGCCAGCTTGGTTAGGCAAACTCAGGTTGAAGTTTGTCAAAAAGATCACCAGTCACCAATGATCTCAATAATTGCATTAGAACAGGGTTCCCCTATATCACTCTTAATGATCTAAAAAAAGGTTTTTGAATTGAAGTGTACATGTAACGTAAAGTTTTTCAATGATTTTGTAGCTACAGTTTACTCTTGTATGGTGCCCTTTACACAAAGTGTAAATTATTTACAAGATGAAATGATTAAAAATAAATGTTTTGGAGGCAAAACACTGCAGCTTTGGGCACCAGTAACATCTGACAACGATAAGATGAGTTTGCTTACAGAGCAGAATTGCTTGATATGCTTTTCAGTTATTTGCATTTCGGTTTCAGGAGAGAATAGCTAAAGCAGGAAATGATTTTGAGGGATTTCCCATTCATTGATGTGCAAATGACTGCAAATGTATAAGTTTTTTNATAATTACACTATACTGATCTTCCTGTACTTGAGATTATTTTGTATTGATATGATGTGTGTATTTTATAAATATATATATTCGCCCTCCATTTCTAGGTGCTGCCGCCGCCGCCGCCGCTGCTGCTGCTGCTCAAGCTACTGTTGCAGCTGAGAATTACTATGATCAAGGCGCTGTTTCACAATGCTCAAGCAAGCCTAAACCCCTTCTCCCAACCCCAAGCAGGCCACCACTTTTGGGCCAAGCACCACTTACTCAGAAAAAAGCTCCACTCTTGGGTGATCGCCCAATAAGAGCTCTTCTGCCTGTTCCAAGTTAGTATACAATTGAAGTTTTATATTAAACCAAACTTTTTTTTAAGGTAAAGGTTAATGCATTATCAACATTTCTGAACATTATTCAGTGTATTCAAACTTGCATGACAGTGATATTGTGATACCTAAGTAATGTTATTAAAATCACAATTAAAATGTTGTTGTTTCTGTCTTTAGCATAACTAAACAAACAGAACTGGGAATGCTTATTTTCATAATTTGATGGGAAATCTAGTTCATTGATCTAACTAACCTCTCCAATACTTTTGATGACTGTTGTTCTGAAAATAGGTTTGCAAATCATTGGGGTGTCACATTTGTGCATTTTGTACAGCATCTAATTTTGAGAAATTTTAATAAAAATCCTGTGAAGTGCTTTGAGGTATTTAACAGTTCCCATTCAGTAGAAAAGCATCCTGATCCTTCATCGGTGTAGAACTAAACCATTACAGATTGACAGGTTGATTTCTCGTCCTTTCTGAGTAACTGATCTTAGTGAGGCGTTAGTTAGAAAATCTAGAATTGACCTTCACACCCCTGGGGAAAAAAACACCCACTTTGACACTATCACAGACGGTCTGTGGATAGTGTACACATTGTATGAAAGAAGTAACACATGTTTATCTAGGCTGGAACACTCTTTCCTCATATTTAAGCTCCACCACTATTGAGCGCTCTGAGACGCTATACCACATGAAGGGCGCTATATAAATGCAAGTTATTCAACAAATTCAATTCGTTGTTACTGTATTATTTTCTATTCAATCATGGACAGAGTAACCAAAATGGATTGAGCTAGGTGGGGAAACCATCTGCTCATTGCTAACATGTACAAATTGATGTACCATAATAACCGAGAACAAAATTGCTTCCTCTTGGTTTTCTCCATTTCAGTATGTGATTTGCGGAGATTTAAAAGTATCTCTCTAATTATAATGTAATGTAATTTTTCTGCACAGTGCTTCATTTTGTGAATGATGACATTTTAGCAGAATGAGGCAGGAGCTTGAATGTGGGGTCATTTTGAGTTTCCATAATTTGTTAAAAGCTACTTCTTAGTTGCAGGCCTGTTTTAATTAATTTTCTTTCTGAATTTGAATTTTATCCTATTTTGCTTGTTGTTCACTAAGCTCTCATCTTGTTGCAAAGTTTAGTTGTGAACTTTATATTGGATCTCAGTATCCTGCACAGCAAATAATTTTTATTTGTTCCAACACAGCTCATTTAAAGTTAGGTACTAGGCCCCAGCCACAGTAAGCAACAGCCACATGAAATATCCGAATGCACGCTGCTTTGGAGCGGAGTTTGTATGTCCAACACAACAATGTTTGAAGAGCACCACAAGTATGATGCCATGCCAATACCACAGGACTCCTTGGTGAATTGTCAGATTGATTTGTAGTATTTTAGTATTTAAAATAAATCCCATTGTAAAGTTCAACAATTTCTTTCTGAAGATGTATGCCCACGATCTTGCGTAAGGACCATTTGTAATTTTTAAATGCCACCATGAATGGTTTTAAAAGTTAGGAAAAATTCTCGTCTTGCTCTATATCTTGTTTATTATTTGACTTGTTAGATGCTCATTAATATTCCCTCCATTCTGTTTCTGAGATCCTTTTTTAGTAAGATTTTATTGTATGGTGATATTTTTTTACAGGGTCAGAAAATAAACTCAATATGCTTTTGAAAACAGAATTGCCCTCCCAATTGGTGTGTATACCATGAATTGAAAGTTCAACAAATATCATCTTACAGTATTATCTTATCCAGATTTGTATAACTGTTGTTCACTTGACTGCTTTTTTGTACTGAGCATTGTAAAAGTGCTGCATTGATTTGATAAAAGCAATGTTTAGTATATCTCAATTAGAGTAATACAATTTCTTTACTGTATTTGAAACCTGTTCAATAAAATTTCCGGTTATTTGGAGAAGAACCCACGATGATCATTTCAGAAACCTCAGTTCTCAATGTTTTGCAATGTGTTGGGGTGTTTGAAGGAAGGGGGGATGCGTTCTGTATCTACTTTAATAGGTAGGTGTTTGAGCTAAATAAATATTCCCGTGTTACTTTGTAATGGTGCTTTTGTTTAAATATTCAAATAAATTGGTGTAATCTCACTGCAGTTGAATCAAAATCTGCAGTGTGCTGAGGAGTTCTACCAAGTACCATCGCCATATGCTTTTGTGGATATTAGAGAGAATTCTCCTTTTCTCTTCCAAAAATGGTAGAATTTGAGATGACCAAAATTATTACGCTTTATAAATACATTTATTTTGCCTTGTGTAGGATTCTGATTGTATCCTAGATGTATATTAGGTAAACAATTGCATTGTTCTTGGCATTCAAACATCTTGGCATACTTTACAGTAATTAGTTGTGAAGTTGTATATACTTTTAATAACATATACAGCCAGTAGTGCTTCCTGATAAAACAGATAACTGTTTACTCAGTTACAAAAAAAGTACCTCAAGGAAATATGTTTGCAGCTTCCTTGGGCCTGTATATGGAGTCTGATACTGCTATTGACACTTCTTTCTCTCATGTTCTCATTTCTACCTGTCCTGCATGGATTTAATTTCTTGTAGATAAGGAAAATCTGTTGGAGGGCATCTCTTGACGTTTAAGTTCAAGAATGGAGCCTGGAAAAAATGTTTGACACAACACCGCTGTGAAATCTTAACCCTGTCCTCTGTAAACACGTTTTCTGTTTTGAAGTCTACCTAAAAGTTCCCAACCTTGAAATATCCAGATTTCTTGCTCTCCTTTAGAATTCTGAGCTACTGAACTTAAAGCTCTTATGACAATTCACTATGTTTTATTTGGTATTTGGATCGGGCTGTTTTTAGAGCCCCTCAAGAGATTTACGCTTTGAAATGTTTGAGTTGTTTCATTCCCAAGAGATTGATACTATAAAAAATACAGTATCCTTTGGAGGTGAAATTCAGATTCAGCTTTCAAATGTTTTTCCATACTTAAATGAGTGTCATACCAACAAGGCTAATGATTTCCCTACATCTATGCGACTATTTGTTTCATTTAGTAAGAATGTTTGAAATGCATTGCAAATCAGAGCAATGTTTGGTCACACACCTGGTCTATATGCACAAATAAAGGTAAACACTCATAATACAAGCTACCCATCTTTGTTTCAAATTGTAACTATAATGGACTTGTTTAGGCAGCGATGCAAAAGACCCCAAATATGTTTCCGAAGCCTACGACGGTTCTCCCGACACGGTACTCTTTGGCGCAATGACACTTTAAAGGCAAGAATTGATGTAGTACAGTAATATATTCTGTGCATTGTATTCCCTAGCACAAGAGAAAAAATAGAAATAATTAATATTTTACTCATATTGAAAATTCTTGCATCTGGTGTGTTTCTCGGATTTGCCTCTTCAGTTGCTGGACTATCTCTGGTGATGTGTATCACAGGGAGGAAACATCTATTTAGTTTAATAGAAAGAATTGTTTGGTCTAGCCAGTGGGTGATTCAAAACCATCCAACTACCATGAAGTGACGTTATAGCTTAGTATTGCTTCATACTTGTCAGCACCATGCTCTATTTGGGATCATGCCCATTTTATACAGCAGTTTTGGGTGGCAGTTTGCCAATTTAAGTTCAGTATAAATGAAAGATGAGAGATTCTGAATGAAGCTTAAGTTCATGAACTTTTAAGGCAACATTTTTTATTGTTATTAAACAGTCGGTTGCTCAGTTGAACGTGTATAGAATTCTCCTCAGCCTGCCCCTGGTCAATCCAATTAAGAGCAGTAAATGTAAATCGGGCTTCCCTGGTTCCAGCTTTACTGCTGGAAGCAATATCGCTTCACTTGTAGTACTTTATGCTGGGTATGGAAGGTAGAAACCAGGCTTCTAACAAAATTTTCAGTGGCAGTTGAAGACTTAACAAGCAGAGTGGGTATGTTTAAGTACTTTCTTTGATGAAGAACAAAGCAAGTGGGCAGTGTAACTAGTCTGCTTTCCTGCATTCCTCAAAAGTATTATAACACCAATACTAAAGATACAATTGCACCATATGATCGTTGCATCTCTTAATATTAAAAGAGGTAAGGTTTCAATCTAAGTCCTGCACAGCAATTTAATTTTAATTTCCTTAAGAATTTTCTGAAACTCAAAACCCAATGTACTGGCCTTAAATTTCCCCAGATTTCATTCATAAAAAGTGGTAAGATTATATCATTAACTGTATCAGACAAATGTATGGAGTCTTAAAAAATCCTTAAGAAAAATAACCATTCAGCCTTACATCACACGTTCAAGTGTAAATGTCAGTTGAAAATATAGTCATGCAAATGACAAGTGCAAATAGCTATTAATAATTGTTTGATTATACGCTTCATGCAGTATTTTACTCAGCATGCCGAAAATCCTTTCATCTCATAATTATGTGGGGTTTTGTTTGCATTTTAGCAGTGCAAAACTCTTCTGAACTTTTCATAGGTATCATTCTTAACAGTTAAGAATTTTCTCTAATACTAAGTGTGTTTGTATTTTTTTGCAATTAAGAATTCCCCTTGAGCTCTGATAGTGAGTAAAGGTATCTCAAATGGCACTCTGAGCCATCAAAACTATAAGGATGCAGGTTCTATTATTGGGTCTGTGCTGAGTTAGCTGATCGCAGCCTGGGCATCAGTAGGGGTGCTAAAATTGGCCTTGCCTCCCCTGGACTTGAAAGGGAAAACTCAGCCAGGGATCCCACTCCTAATCACTATCCAGTAACCCCTGCTGGAAAGTATGTATGTGGACGTTGAGTGAGAACAACATTGCACTAGGCTGTGATCCTCCCTATAGTCGAATAGCCTGCCAACACTCATTGTCTAGGCTCACACATGAAGAATGGCAACTTGGGTGAGATCCCAAAGGGCTTCTAGCATTCATGGAACCATATCCTTGCAAGAATTAGCACCTAAAGAAAATTAGAGGGGAAGAAATCTTTTAATGTCGAGTACTTTTTTTAAGCGTATTACTTAGTGTAACTTTTATTGAACAGTAAAGTTGAAGAATTGAATAATTTTTAGCCTGAACTGTTCCATAAATAAGATGGACTTAGAATGCCCAAGAATATGTAATCTGGCAGAAAAACCTTATCTAACATTAATTAGAAATTGGCCTCTCTAAAGATGATATCCTGGGAAGATTGTAATTGCGACTTCTCCAGGTTCACTCAAAGACCCAGCTGAGTGAAGATTTACATCATGTGAGCAACTGCCTCATCGATTAACTTGGAGAGTGCACTTGGATGAGCCTTTTCCACAAGTATTTGTCTGGTGCTTTGTATGCTCTCCTAAGCATGGTGACCACAAGGAGTGTAGTGCTGATGAATTTCTTTGCGTTTGAAGTAAAAGTGTTAAATCTGACCAAGGTAGTGTGTTTTTTTTGTGCTGACACTGGCAAACATTTCTGCTCGTCAGTAAACTTCCTTGGCAATGTGCATTTCTTCATAATAAATGCATACTGGTAAGGTCGATGACTACTAAACAGCAGGATTTAATGCTCTAGGTGTCCAAAATTTATTCTATTCACAAAAAAAATCCCTCAATGAGTGCAAGATTTATTTAAAAAAATTGAGTGATAATATATCCAAAAACAGCACTATAAAGAAACAAATTCCTGAAGACAAAAAGATTTTATTAGGACACATTTGGCTAGCAATGCAGCTTAAATAAAACAACTTAAATCTGATAAATGCTGAATTTCATAAACCTTAATATTTTATTCTACCCAGAATCAAAACAAAATCTTTCTTATTCAGTCATCTCAGCACATTAGAAAATAGTCAAAAAAGGTTACCGCATCATTAAATCTTCTAGCACCACATTTTTAATCTCTAAAAATGCGGCATGTGAGGGAGAAAAAAAAATACTACTTCAGGGGATCTGCTAGGCAGATTGTGTATTTTGAAACAGACAAATTTACAATTACAAACTAAACAACTCGTGTTTACACTTACAATAGATACAATTGTGCAGATACAAACCTGTACTATGGTTCAAAGTCTCAGCAATCTCTTCACCGGTTTATGAATCTAAATGTAAACAGCTACTAAAATGTAACATTTCTTCAGTAAATATTGACAGTTCACTAGATAAACAAAAACATGTCAGTTTATTAGAAAAGAAACTGAAAATCAACTAAGTTTATAACATTCAGCTCAAGAGTAAAACTTGAATTTTCAATAAAGAAACATAAACACAGCATCTATACTAATAAAGACGAAATGTATTTCTGTGTATCTGTCTGCCCACCAATAATGCAATAACTGATTGACATAGAGACATAATTTGTACCTCATCGGAAAGGTCTTGTGAGGGGGATGGTCATGGGCATTTTTTTTCAGGGATCTCCTATCGTTGATGAGCTTTGACCTAAACAAGCTCATCACCCATGTATGGACTCCCAACAAGGAGTTCTCGCAAAAGGAGCCTTCACAACAAAGAGTCCTCCCTGCAGGAGTCCTCCTAACAAGGGGCCTCCCAACAGCACATTGTCTTAATCTTCATGGATAAAGATGCCTAAGAAGGGAAGATCAAGCCTTTTGAGAACAAATAAAAATGCCAGACGAAAGAGAAAAGGTGGATTAAATGAAACTGAAGAACAAAGAACAGCACAGTTGGACTTTGATGCAGAAAGGCATGCAAGAACATGGCAAAATGAGTTGCCCGTTCACAGAACAGTTTGGCTGCATTTCGATGCAGAAAGGCATGCAAGAACACGGCAAAATGAATTGCCCACTCGAACAGCATGGCTGGACTTGAATGTTGAAAGGACAAGGTTGGTGGTAAAGCAGTTGATGCCACATGTTTTAGAAGCAACTTGACTGGTCAGTTCAAAGGGGAAGATGTATTCATTCCTCACATCCCACTACTCCCAGGTGACTGCCCGTTTGAGTTCAAAAGGCTCCATTTCCCTGTTGAATGTTCTTTGCCATGTCAATTAACAAGATACAGGGGCAGAGCTTAAAGACTGCAGGTCTTTTCTTCAATACACCCTACTTTTCCAATTGGCTGCTCACGTGTTGGTTCATCTCAAAATCTGTATTTCATGGCCGAAGGAGGAAAACCTGCATATGTCGTCTACACGGAAGCCTTGCAATAACTCAAGGACTTGCCGGATCACGCAGTGATCCCTTCAGTTAGCGTAGCTTTGATAGGATGTTCTATCGTTGATGAGCTATGACCGAAACGAGCTCTTCGCACATGTATGGCAGTTTTGCTTAAGGTGAACACACAGTGTTTGTGGGAAGTTGGATGGTTTGTGAGTGGTATCACTGAAATCTGTATATTGGATCCTTTGGTTCCAAGCGTAGCTGCAACGGATACAGCTAGTAGGAAATAAATGAGTACAATACTATCAGTTGAGATATTACCCCTATTGTTCTTTGGAAAAAATCAATACATTTTCATTTGAATTTGGGGCACTGATAAGATTTTATACATGGTATTGAATAGAATGTTCTGTTGGTCTAGACAAGCTTTTTGAAGCACTGTATTTAAAGCAATATTATTAAGGCACTACAGGAAATAAAATGAAATAATCGCCCGAGGGTTGAACCGAATCTAAGGTAACATATCTGACAATGGAATATCGGAAGCAAGTCAACCCTCCGTAGCGGTCTTGGTGGTCCAGTTCCTGAACCAGGCACATCTGCAGGACCCCAAGGACTGTTGATGACAGATTAGTCCGCTTGACTCGTCAACAGGATTTGGAGGAGCAGACGAGACGCTGGGGCAATTCGATAGGCTCCTGTTAACCTTGCAGGCCAAAGCAGTAATGGACAGGGTGTTCTCGTTGAACAAGTGGTGGGTAGCTTGTCAGAGTATTTCCAATGGCAAGCTTGCATGCTTCAACTTGTAACATTGCAGTTGCCCAATGTGCACCCTTAAGTCCCTAAGCCTTGGCTATTGCCTCTAATACTTCCCAAAATTAGGCAAGCGAGGTGCGTCTCTCTGGGGTAGAGTGCTCGCACGTTCCAGACGAAGGGAAATTTCCAGGCGCGTGTGGGTGGCGCGAACGGGTGGAATTCACTTCTCGGCGCACCACCACGCCAAGTCTACCTCAAGCAAACGAGCCACGCACCGTTGAGGTTTTTTTCGAATTATATTAACGTTCTGCGGCGAAAAGAAAAACCGACAAGTAATCCCAAACAATTCCCCCTTGGTCAGCTGGGTCCACTTTCAGGTGAGTAACCTTAAAGGTGACAGTATTGTTGTCGAAACGCCAGTGCTCTCTCTCTCCACCCTGAGCAAGACAAGCGCAGCGGTTTGAACTTTCACCAGCAGGGGGCGCACGCCACCTGAGCACCTCTCAGGCAGCATTGCCCCCCCCCCCCCACCCCTCGCCCAGCATCAGCATCAGCATCGCACAGCACAGCACAGCACACGAGGACTGGTTTCGGATCTGCACGTTCGTTCATCCGTAAATGTTTCTGTGTCGGGAACGGGGAAAAAACAACAACAACTGCGATTTCGTGACCTCCAAAGTACAAGTGGAAACTATTTTACAAGTCGCAATGTGGTGGGGGTTTTTTTTTTGGGGGGGGTGGGGTGTCACTCCACTCCGGACCTGAGTTCAAAGTCATCCATGCGATTCACGCCAAATACACAAACATCAGCCAGAAATGGGCAGAATTCAGTCGTTCACATACCCCCCTTCCCCACCAAAAAATACAAACTGGCTGTGTGCTCAAACCATTCAGAGATTATGTTGTTAACCCGTCCTTTTCGTCGCCTATATGTTTTTTTGTGTGTGACTGTGCTGTAGATTGTGCTTAAAACCCCGCAGAGGTGGTCTCAGCACACACGCGTGACAAATAAATAAATTCAAACCGATTATATTTGTTAGCCGCATAGGCGTAATTCCATCAGTTTATAATTAGATGTAAACGAATTACTAACACTAATACCCTTTTAATTCCACTGTATCATTATGGATAGTTTTGAAATTCGCTGTGCCCCGCAGGGAGTTGCGCGCTGGAAGCTAAAGAATTTCCATTGTTCGGCAGGAATTAGGTTATTAAAAAAAAACCGCGAGTGAGAGATTGCTTCTGCGAACCAAAGGAGATGTGCAGTAATGGCAACATTAAAGCGGTTTGAGGTTCATGTGAAGCGATTTAGTTTAAATGGACAGGAGGGCTGACGCCGTGCACTGCCCATTACCAGCCTCAGCGCTCGGACGAACGTCCACGATTTCTTTCCTCTTTCCTTTTCGACATATTTTTTTGTGTGTGTGTGTGTGTGTGAATACCGCCGCAATCATTAGGAAAAGACTGTTCTCAAATCGAACTGGAGTTTGCGGATGACTTGTTCGTCGCCGCACGTTTACCGCGTTCGCTTCGGCGATTTCAAACTATTTCCCCCTCTCCTCTCTGACGGGGCTCCGGATTAGTTTTACGCAGTTAACTCCATTTTCCGGGTAAAGCAGAGGGGTAGAGAGAGAGAGAAAGAAAAACAAACAAACACATTTGTTTCTTTTTTTTAAAAAAAAACGGTGGTTAGTGATCAACTCGATTTAGTAGTTTTCGGACCGCGTTATATATATATATATATATACACATATATTAAAAAAATGCGAGTTAACAATACGCGATTTAGTAGTTTTGGAAGGGAAGGGAATGGGGAAGGGAATGGGGGGGGTCGGCGCAGGGGGGGGATTTGGGAAGGACTTCGTTTAGAAATGTGAAGTCCGGAGACGCTCCGGATAAGGCGTTCGCGTTGGTGCGGTGGGAGTCCGGTCCGATCCGGTCTGTCCGCGGCTCCGGGCTTTCGGCACGACCGGAGCCGCTCAAGACTTTTCATTATTCACCACGCGCGCTCTGCACTTGGACAGCGATTTCCTCCGTGATTACGTGTGGCGCGTCTCCCTGCGGGAAAGCTCCCCCGTGGAGAGGTCCTGATGGGTTTGGGCCTTACTTGAATTTCCCAGCTTATTATGTGTCTGCACTGCGCGCTCACGCAGTGCCTCGGCAGCCAGCTCCGCTCCCACCACAAAGAAGAGCGGGCTGTGCCGCTGATCGGGAAAGCCGGACCGCAATGGCAGAGACCACTTCCTCCTCCTCCTCCTCCTCCCCAGCAGCACAGTGCGTGCCTCCTCCCGCACACCGCGACAGCCTGCCGGCCGCTCTTGTGCTCCTCTGAACGCAAGCCCGGGCCAAACAACCGCAACGTTATTTCTATGCGTGGCGATAAAAGGGAGAGATCGTGCCACTTTCAGGGCAGGATAAACCAGGGACGCCTCGCACTCTCAGTAGATTTCTGGCTGAACAGGTGATCCCCCCCCCCTCCCCTCCCACCCCTTCCACCACCGTTTGCTAAGTTTTTTTTTGCGCGAGGGGTTTAGTTAGTAAATAAGGTAGTCACGATCGGATTCACGCTTTTTTTTTGTTAACTTTTTTTGTGTGTATATATATATATAAACATTGTTGTTAGACAGAGAGTGAGAGAGAGAGAGAGAGAACGAGTCTTCGGCTGTTGTGAACAATTTTTTTTCGCTACCGATTCCGGGAGGTGGAGGTCAACGAAAAGAGGACTGTTGTGTCGAGAAATATATATATATATATATATATGTGTGTTTGGTGCAAACAACAATAGAAGCACGTTATCGAGTGGATCCTCGGTGCAAAAAAGATATCTCTGTCTCTCTCTCTCTTTCGCTGGATATATATATACACACACATACACACACATACACAATCTCCACGAGTCACTTGCGTTCGTCCACCAGTTGCAAAGAAGTTGTGCCGGAGAAGAACGGAAAGGAGGAGAGAGAGGGAGAGAGAGGGAGAGCGAGAGCGAAAAGAAATAAAAAAAAGAGAGATCACAGAGGGGATTGACTGACTGACTGACTGACCGGCATTACTTTCCAGCACCAGTGGACAAAAGTACGGGCGGCGGGTGGTGGTGGTGGTGGGGGGGGAGGGAGACGTCACACGCAGTCCAGTCCACTCCGAGAGGTTCAAGTTGCCGCATTGCAACGGGGCAGCAGGAGCAAGAGGAGGAGGAGGAGGAGGTGAGAGGGAGAGGAGGAGGAAGAGGAAGGAAATCGTCCACGGAGAGCAGATTTATGTGACGAAAGCGCCAGGCCGTCAGTCAGTCACTGGACCGGACCGGACAGCGGCACCTGGCCTCAGAGAGAAGCCATTCTTTCGGAAGAGTGAATAGCTGGACATGTCCAGACGGAAACAGTCTAAGCCTCGGGCCGTTAAAGGTGAGAGCAGGAGATTATTATTATTATTATTATTTTTTTTGGTGGCGTTTTTTTGGTGTGTGGGCGAGGTGGACATTTTTTTTTGAGGGGGGGGAGGGGAAAGGGTTTGTTGTTGTTGTTGTTGTTTCAGGGATTGACTTTCTTCCTCCCCTCCCCCCCCCCACCACCTTCCTCCTCTCCTCTTCCCGCTCCCCTCCTCCTGCTCCTCTCGCAGCGTGTCAGTCAGCCAGCAACAGGGAGTCTGTGTGGCTCAGCTGAGCCTCCCTCCCGCTCCCTCCCTCCCTCCACGGCTCACAGTGCGCAGGCGGGGGGCGGGAAGAGCCGCCCCGCCCCGCCCGCCCCGACCACGTGCTCCAACTCCGCGATCCGATTGGCTGCCTGTCCGCCCCCCACCCCACCCCACCCCTCCGGCCCCAGCACGCGGCCCGATTCAATTTCATTTGACGGTTGCAAACCGGTCACGTGGGCAAAACCCGCTCAGCTCCGGCGAAACCGCCGAAGCCCTGACGGCTCCGGGCGGGTTCCCGGCGGGTTCCCGGCGGGAAGGGCAGCGGGAACGCCCGCCCGCCGGACAGCGATGTCAATGGCTACCCGGTCTCAGCCGGTTAGACGTGCGGCCGTTAGCCTAACGTGCACTCTGGGCTCTCCCCCACCGCCCCGCCCGCCCTCCCTCCCACCCACCCACCCACCTAAGCCTTGGCTCGTGCCCACCCATGCGCCTAATACTTTCAGGAATTGGGCAAACCCTGGGATGCGTTCCTCTCTCCAGGGACGGGAAGAGAGAGAGAGAGAGAGCGAGAGAGAGCGCGCATTCCATTCCGGCAATCTTATCCGGGATGTCCAGGCGTAGGTGGGATGCAGCGGATCCCCTCGGTTGCTTTGGGTACTCTCGAGCCCGGTGATGGGCTTCCGCATGTGTGCCGGACACCTGTCTGAACTCCCCCCTCCTCCTCCCCCACCGGCACAAAACAAAAAAAATCCAAACTCTCCCAGGGGAGTCTTCCTCTGCTCTTTCATTCCCCCCCCCCCCCCCCCCACACACATACACACACACCACGCACTCCCAGGTGAGTCTCCTCTCTTCCCCCCCCCCCCCCCCCACCACCACCATGGAATTGTTCTCTTCCGTCTTTCCTAGACATGCCACGTGTGTCTCACTTGTTCCCCGTTCCCAGATGAGACCCTTTTTTTCTTAACCCAGCTGAGATTTTTTTTCTCTCACTCTCTGGCCACTCTCCCTGCCCCCCTCCCCCCCCCCCCCCCCCCCCCCCCCCCCCCCACCACCACCACCACCAGTCCCAAATGAGTTATTTTTGTCCTGTCCCCATTCCAGGTATGTCATGTTCAATTTCCTCTCCATCTTCGTTAAATCTTTCCCCAAATCCAGCTACGTCCCCTTGAGAAATGTTGCACTGATGCAGATCAAGAGCTGGCAGAGGAGCAATTTCCGGAGGGGCACGGAAATACCAACCAGTTTTTTGACAATAGTTCAGCAACAAAGCCCAACCAACGTAACCTAGGAAATCACATATACGCTTGTTACTAATCCTTTACTGTTTTGTTGTAGCCTGTAGGTAAGATGGGGGACACCTTAAAACTGGAAAATGGTCAGTGTGGTGTCCAGGTGAGTGACAGCATTGGTGAAGAGGAACTGGTGGGCTACAGTGGTGAAATGGATGATTGAGTACTTTCTAACTCTGGGATTTTGAATTTATTTTGTATATGTATGTATATATAGTGCGTGTGTGGTGTGTGTGGATGTATATTTTTACATATTTATACACACACATTATTTCCTCTAGGTATGAGTAGTTTTGCTACTGTTTGCCCTTTCCTCTCTCTTTGCCCCTCTGAAGGGATAGTCCAGGCAGATCTACGAAGATGATATGTGATGATGTTCTTACCAGAGATTAAGTACTATGGTTTAATCACTGTAATTTATCAGTTGATGATCTCCAATTGACTACCACAAATGCAGTTAAGTTTTATATACGCAAACTGAGAATATTGGGTAGGAATGATTACATAAATCTTACTGAGTGGTTCAGTTTATAAAACATATGATTGAGATCAAAGCATGAGTGGTTTACAATCGCCTAAACCACAAGACTTTTTTTATTATTTTACCATTTCCATTTTTTGATAAAGCTTATCGGGTACTTTTTCAGTTGCTGTAGGCAACTTGTAACTTAAAACAAATTAAAAATATACAGTACTGTTATTTGTCCAGCTAGGATTGCTCTCTTAGCTGGAGAGAAGGGTTTTCATATGCAGGAAATGTCCACTTCCAAGTTACATTGTTAAATTGTTTGATCATCAACAGTGCTTTTGGATTATTATGGATCCGTCAGTTGAATCCCAGGGAGATGAAGCTTACTGTGCGTCTCCCCTTCCCCTCCTTCCAGCACGATGCGTCTTTAGAATTGCTCCTCTATCAGTTTTGAAAGGGCCATAGCCTGAGTGGACTGGTTCACTAGAATTAATTAGTGTATTACTGGGAAATAATACTCCTCTATTATGTTTATGAAACTAATTAAGGGTTTTGTATGATGGAATCCTGAACAAAGCTTTGAGTTGTTTCTAAAGATCTAAACATTCTAAAGTTACAACTCATTCATCATTCAAAACTACTATTTTATGTACTATATTGAATTTAAAGTTTACTAACTTACTGTTTTCTTTGAAAGTTTTTTTTGTCATATTTGGACCCCTTCAGATATTTTTAAATAATATAGAATGGGCTTTTATAGTTTTGTACACCCCTAGGTAGTATTTGCTAAAGAATATTTTACTAATGTCTAACTCAATTGTATATGGTGTATATAGAATGTCTGATGTGGATCTAATTTGCAATGTTTATATGAACTAAGGGTTTGACGTGTTCTTGTGTACAATGGTTCACTGATGTGCAAATGTTTGTGGAGACAACAGTTTAAATCACAATCATGTAATTTGTCCCTGTAGTAAGTCGTTCTGGAGCATTCAGTTGATGGTGTATCAGGGGGGGTACAGAAGATGTCGGGATTGTGGTATTGTAGAATGTGTGCGTTTATTATTGCAGATTGATGGCTCCAAAATGCCTGCCCTGCTAAACGCAATAGTTTCACAACGGGAGGCATCTGAATGTTCACCATCATTGATACTGGATGAGTAGATTAAGAAACTTCCTCACTGCAAGAAGTTATGGTTTTTAAATATACTTTTTCCTACAGGAGTACAGGTAGTGTTAACAGAGTGTGATCATTGTACACTTTTTTAACCCCTTTAAGAACGTTCACAATCTTGATACAAAAAAAAACCGTGCAGCCAGCCATAGGCCCATGAGCTTGGTCAATGAAGAAGAATGTTTATTCAGCAATCTGTTTTGGTGAAGTGGTATGTACAGAGCCTCCAAATCCACATACCCATCTGAAAGTTTCATGAAAACTTGTTCAAGTTCTCTTGGACATAGGTGATTGTGTCTGCTGCTCATCCACATGGATCATACATTTACACTACTAAAACAATTGTGACTATCATCTTTCTTCGTTGTTGCAATTTTTAGTAACCATGATATACTTGTGTTGTGTGAATCACCAAAACTCTTGGAAGTACTTTTAATCAAAGTTGCTGGTGCTGAATGTTTTAATTATATGTGGTACCAGAATCGAAGCTTCTGTAGCTCAGTGGTTAGAGCACTCGCTTTGCAAGCGAGAGACCTGAGTTCAATTCCAGGCAGGGCGAAACCTTGGGCAAGTTTCCTTACTCCACACAGAGCCTAATAATAATCCCTCCAAAGCCAAAAACAATAATAAAAATTGGTCATTTTCAATCTACGACTGTTTGTGGGACATTGCTGTGCGCAATTGGCTGCCGCGTTCGCCCACAAATATACAGTCAATTCACTTTACAGTGTGTTCTGTGGAGCGCTTTGGGACGTCCTCCCGACGTGAAAAGCGCTATATCAAATGCAAGGATTAATTAGAAGCTACTATCTGGTAGAATTTTTTTCTTTTTAAGTTTCTTTTGTGGGGAGGGTTACTTAGATTGAAATAGTTCTCCCAAGGAAATGTTGTTCCTCTTTAATGGGCCAGGTATTCCGTTAGGCTGTAATATTCTCCACTGTAACTCAAAGTGTGAAGAGTTATCCCATATTACAAGTATGGGTTGTTGACCTCCCACAGATGAGATCTTTTAACAGAATTATTTCTCAAAGGGAGAACTATGGGTGATATTTTAAAAGGCATGTCAAGTAATAATAATCCTTGCATTTGATATAGCGCTTTTCACGTCGGGAGGATGTCCCAAAGCGCTTCACAGAATATACTGTAAAGTGAATTGACTGTATATTTGTGGGCGAACGCGGCAGCCAATTGCGCACAGCAATGTCCCACAAACAGTCGTAGAATGAAAATGACCAATTTATTATTGTTTTTTTTTTGGAGGGATTATTATTAGGCTCTGTGTGGAGTAAGGAAACTTGCCCAAGGTTCCGCCCTGCCTGGAATTGAACTCAGGTCTCTCGCTTGCAAAGCGAGTGCTCTAACCACTGAGCTACAGGACTCCAAAGTGAAAGTTTATGTCGTGTCCACCAGATTTGCACATGGCATTTCTAAGTACGGTCTGACTAGATAATTGGAGTTTCAACACCATGACTGGAGATTTGAACTCAATACAGACTTTAGGGCAAATAAGTGGTAAAGGTAGTTGAAAAAGCTGGGGAAACGAATGAGAATCTTCAGTATTCGACACTCCAATCTTTTACAGTTTCCTACTAATTAAGAATTTTAGATTTATTTCTCAAGAGTTCAGAGATTTTGGATTAATTGAAGGAAAATGGAAAAAACATTATCTTGCAGGTAAATTTGAAATGGAAAATATTTCCCTCCGGAGGCCAGTCTCAATGGCACAATGCAACTGAGAATGGCTTCCTGAGGGAAAACAGTTTCCATTACCAAAACGTCCTATTGATTTCACTGTGCATAGTCTATACTTCGTGGCACTGAGGGGAAAGTTGATTC